CTTTCACAGCCAGCATCAGCCTAGTTCTTGTGCGACAGAATCGTCAGACAATCTCGATTAGCCATAACAACACCAAGTATGGCCATCTTCACGACCCCAAAACTTGACCGCTGTTGTCCTTTCGCCTACCCAGTGCCGCCATGTCACGCTGCCAATCGCACACACCAATCCAACAGACTGGGCATCGGACCCTGATCCGGCATATGCTGCATCCAATGGCTCCATTTTGAACCAATCCCGCCCAACGCACAGGATAGAACGTTGTCAAGCATCGACAAAAGCAGCACGATGACACCAGAGAATACCTACTTGTCCAAAGATTCCAGTCGGACATTTGGCATCGAGGCAAGCGTAGTCTGCAGATGCCAGATTCTACCGCAATGACCGTCCATCTGCGACAGATGCACCTCGAATGCTCGTTCCTCGGTTCCAGTCAGCAGTTCTGCCATGCTTGACCCTGCCACGACACCCATTCGCCTAGCAGCATGACATGAGGTGCCATTCGATGGGCCGTGCCTATCAGCAAAGATCGACTTGTGCGACAATGCTGAGGTTTCTGCTTTTCTTCTTCTTCATTGGGCCGACATCAGCTTCTCCTGGAGACTTCGCAATCCCTGCTAGACGCCCTCTCGACACTCGCGCCAACGTCTGGCTATTTTCAGCACAACCCTTTCCTGCTCGGCTGATGCCACGGCTCGGAAGCGACCTCCGGCACCCAAGAGGTCCACTTGATTGATATTCAGCATGCGGCTCATATGGATGGTGACGTGGGGTCTGGTGTTGACATTTAGTCAATATGTGGACCAAAGGCCCGGGGCGTGTGAATGCGGTTAAGGAGAGAGCCGCGGCCGCCTCACGTCGACGACCAAAGACAGGCGTTAAATGCCCCGAACAGCAGTCAATACTATCGAGCCGTCCGAGCTGACTTCGCTTGGTAACCGCTTAAGCTTGAGGCGCACTCGACGTCTTGGATGTGCTCGCAGATGATCGGACCAGAAATTCGCCAACCCCCACGAAAGCCTGCCGCACGAGAGTCTGACGAAACGTCACTCTTCCCGTCCTCAAAAAGCTACTGCATCTGAACGAAAGAGCATGTCCTTGCAAGCTATTCTCTTTTCGGTAAACAACACGGCGAGACAGGATGGCATTCCTTGTGGCCTGCGAGTTGAGATGACACTACACGCCTCGTACCTGAATAACGGAGGTAGGCTGCTGTCGTCAACAGGGCGATTGTTCTTCCACCTTCCCGCCGGGGTTATTCCCGCCATGGCCAAGCCTAGATCACAAACACGAGCAGCTGGTCATTGGGATTCAATATGGATAGCCCATCTGTTGCAACCTGAACAGGGGTGAAGATTGGTGTCTTTTACTCAGCCTGGATGTGACAGGAAAACTGGCCAGCCGGGGTGCGTCGCCTGTCATGCAAGTCGATCTCATCATGGGAAGATCGGAGATGACCAGGAAAAGAAAACGAGGTTGGTCAGACAAGTGGCCGCTGTGTCTCAGAAACACGCAAAGCACACTACACACCACCAACTCGGGATGGCCCACGACATTGATTGCAGTGGGTGGGTTCTTCGCAGACTCGACGACCGTCGACGCTTCTTTGATGCATGTCTGACCGCACACAGACAGCACCAACTTCATGGGACGGTTTCTGGCTTGCGTGGGGACGATCGCAACATGTCACCTTGTGCCGGAGCGACAGCCAGCATCCAGCGGCATTACCGAGCTCTTAGACGGCCTGCCAAATCTTAAGCGTTTGGCGCCAAATCCAGACGTGCAGAATCAGTATCCAACGAGAGTGCATCTAACACTTTTTGACAGGATGGCGACCCTGCAGAATGTTGTTCCCACCAGCTGTTCTCTCGATCCCATCCCATCTATCCATGAGGGCGGTGCTAAGCGCCGTATTGAACCGCAAAAGCCGTTCTTTTGGCTCAAGATCCATTTTTCTCCCTCGGATATTAGGTTTCGTGGGACGAAGCACATCGATTTTCAAACTGCACTTCCTGAAGCGTCCATTCTGCGAGATGAAAGGGTTCACTCACTACCAGACTAAGCGTCTCGCCAAGCTAAAAAGATCGGAACAATACCACGCAGCCTACCCTGGCATCTTTCTCTGAGGATGGAAGTCAGTTGAAAGATTCCAAACCGCCGCTGCGTGTCTACGCTCATACATATGCCCCGATTCAACGCTTCACGATCCCTGATGGAACAGCGCCGGGCACTTACAACACGATGCCAAATAGTCGACGACGACGTCTACGAACTTGGCCGGGAATATTTCGAAGTTCTGAAATAATCATGCCCATCAGTGGTACCTGGATAGCTCAGCACAGGCACGACGTTGTTGATCCTGCCCGATACAAGCCGCAGAGTGACCTGAGCAAGAAGCCAGCTACCCCCGGTTTTCTTCAATAAGAAGAAAGTCAACTTTTGCCAAGGCGCAACAAAATGAGGCATCGTGATGCGCAGACCTGAGATGTAACGACTCAAGCGTACCACCCAGCTGACAACTCCTGAGTCTTGCTCGCAAGGCCAACGACTATACATGGGTGACTCAGAAGCGTTGGTAACGCCTGTTGCTGACCAAACAAGCGCCGTCACCCGATTTACGACGAATTGTCTTTGCTCGCTCGCCTCGCCGAGCGGCGAGTTGGTGTTCTCTTCCTTGGAGGGCCGGACAGGACAGCGGGAGCGTGTAATGTCAAAGCGTTCGCAGACAAATCCACCGTCAAGTTTCACACCAGACTTCAAAATGGTCAAAGCGCCGTCCAACTCTGCTGCGTCTTTGGAGACCGAAAAGAGGCACCCTGGCAACCCCAAGTTCCTCATCTGATCTCCTAGTCCCTGGTCCCTGTCAAATACCCTGCACGGCGGCTGACAGAGGTGAATGATCGCATCAATCGGATTTGGAGCGAATCATGTCGATTGGAAACCCTGTCTGACAGGTACCCGACGAGAGAGTACTCAACTCCCTTGCTCGCAACGAGCAACGGAAGGGGCATGTATTGTCAAGCACACGCTACCTGGGCACCTAGCAAACTCTGACAGATGGTCGGAAGTCTTGCAAGAACGGCAAGGCGCTGAAGAGCCTTGTTTGCCTTGCGGGTACTCTGTACAGAGAGAGACAACAGGGGAACTGTCTCCATTCCGCCTAACCCTCTGGAAGAGCGCTGAATGTCCGGAATACGAAACCTTGTGTCGATATAACACTTCTAGGCGATGGGCGAAAGTGGGCAGTCAGCGCACTGTCGTGAAAATGACATGCCACGCGGAGAGATGAGCCCAGTCGACGACTTTGATAGTAGTACCCTTTCGTTTTGGGCACGCTACACGTCCGCACGTACTTCCCAATTCACGCACACCCCTCCCCATCCACACCGAGTCGGGATGGTCAACGATTTTGACGTTTGCACCCGCATGCTGTGCGTCTTACTCCGTCCCGTCGGCCTGCTGGAAAGAGGTTGCGTGGCAGCGCGGCTCTTGCAACTGTATGCGTCTGCAGCCTTCTGACCGACGGCGTCTGCCAGCCCTTTTGGTGGACCAGCAAGTTGACCTTTGAGCCGGATCGGTCAATTTGGCGAGGTGCCACATCCGCCAGAAGTTCCTCATCCACATTATCACCGTCAGACTGTCAAGCAGCGCCAAGAATCGCGGCATTTCAAGATGACAGGTGATGATTGGTCGTCTCCACCCGGTCGGCGTCGACGGACGGTAATGATACTGACCAGCCATGATATTGTCCTCAGCTTTGCTCTGAAGCCATGTCAAACTATACGGTGGACGTGAGCAATGTACGAGCCTGTCATGCTTTGGGGATGTAGTTACTGGGAAGTGCCGATCCATTTCAACGGTTCCTACCGTTCCATCCCAAATCCCGCGCTACATCTCAACCATCTAACGAACGACGGAGACGGCGGCCAAGGTACCGTCGATTTTGCAGACGGGGTTTCCCGGTCTTAGCAAGAGCCTCATGGCAAATGACGCGGCTATCAATCCCATCCCGCTCTCTGCTATTGCGGCTTCAGGTAGCATTGCCAAAGTGCGGAGACAACCTCGAAACGGACACATCCGTCCATCTGTGACAAACCAGCGAAGTTTACCACGTGCCATCGTCGGCAGTCATCTTTGCCCGGTGTCAACTCTTCATTAGTCCTCGGCTTCTTCTATCGCGGGTGGTTGCATGCTCCTCTAGCAGAGAAGCAAACTTCTGGTCCTCCGATTTGACAGCGGGACATTGAAGACTTCCTTCAGACTCCGGCCGGGCGGTATTGTGCAGAAGACGTACTAGCTTTCGTTAATCTTGCGCTCACTGATCCCCTCCCGCACCCCCTCCGGCTACCCTGCAGAGGCCCGAGGCCGTTTGGGCGAAGTCCAGGATCCCTTCGCAGATGCAAGAGAAGGTTTGTCGAAAAACTTAATATGCCTTCACGGCAGCTCACCCTGGGATCTGCGAACTGGCGGTCTGAGACTCACAGACACACATCATCTGCACGCCGAGTATGTCGGCAGAGATGGATGATGTAGTCAGGGTCCACGAGACCGATTGTTCGACTGATAGTCTAGTATGTTTACCCGCAATTTCCCCGAGATTCAGTCTTTCGACGCCTACTGGAGTCGAGTCTGCTCGGTTTCGGAATCATCGTGGCGCGCGCCTTGACCACGATACCGACCCTGCAGCCGACACGCCACATTTCCCCAAGTCGTCAACGATTAACCGCGCAGGAACGCACGCCTTACATCGTGTGTAGGCTAGGAGTTGGTGAATACACATTTTCACTATCTTCCAAGTCATCGTTACAGCCGTTGATAACCCTTGACGCCCCTTTCACCACAGCCCTCCGCCGGCCTTGATCATTAAATCTCATAATTTGAATACATCCAGATAACCAACCGAGATACGAGAGCGCGTACGGCATCGCCCTCGATTGTCTACCGTTGACAGCGAAAATAAAAAGCCGGATGAGCGGCCAGATCAGCAGACCTTCCCAGGTCTAAAACACAGCCAGAGCCGCAATGATTCCTCCAAGCAACGCAACTGGTCCCATGGAGGACGCGACATTGGGTGTGCCCGTGGCAGCGGGCGCCGCGGTCTGACTGGCGCCAGTCTGCGCACCGCCAGAAGTTGTCACGTTCTTGCACACGACTTGATCGGGTACGGTGACACCGGCACCGGTGCAGATGTTCTTGGCAAACTTGACGGCCGTGTCCTGGTCGGCCTTGGGGCACGCAGCAGCCAGACAGCAGGCGATGCCGTCCAGGAAGCCAGAGTTGGAGCAGATACACTTGATGTCGAGGTTGCTGCAACCAGCAATGGCGGTTCCCGACGTGTACTGGTTCACACAACCTTGCTGTGTAGTCGAGAAAGTCAGCCGTCTGAGGTTACAGTTGCTACTCAGGTGCTAGCATCACGACATCACGAGAGAAGTGAGAGTGGGAACATACTGCGCACGTAGGAAGCTGCGTGTCCTGCGCGCCGGCAATGCCGGCGAGAGCGAGCACGACGACAGTGAACTTCATGTTGACTGATTGCGGTATGCGGTGCTTGGTGCGAGACGCTCGGGTTCGACAAGGGAGCAACAGCAAATGTGCTTTCTGGCAGAGTCTAAGCGTTGATGAAGCTGGTTTACAACGGTTGAGATGAGAGAGGTGAAGTCTTTTCCTGCAGGACGAAGAATGAAGCGCCACCCAGCTGCGGATGAACGTGGGATGAGAGAGGAGAACTCCTCAGCACCCGATGGTATGCTAAAGCACCTGCTTACCCCGATTCGAACTATCGAGTCGACGGCGCCACCAATCCTTATTTTGTTTTTGTCTTTCTTTGACAGGGCCCCCAGGTCAAAGACGCTTTTTGGTGAAATCACACCAATCACAGGGTCACATCGCCGGCGTCATTGACGGTCCCAATTGGCCAGCATCATGCCCCTTTAGGCTCAATAGACTTTTGACTTTTCTGGTTCTGGAGCTTGTTGGAGAACTCATTTTGGGTGGGAAGGGCAATGATTAGCATGCGAGCTAACGGCGGGCTGGCAGGGTCGACCAGGTCCCCCGAGAAACGACCTCAACCACCCCCGGAAGACTCGGAGGCGGTGCCCTTGCGTTCACGTTCCTCAGGAAGTCTGGGGGAGGGCGGAGGGCCACTCAACGGTCCGGGGAGGTCCCATCCATCTAGGATGCCCGTCCGGGGCGCCGGGGAGGCCGGAGCCTCCGTGTTTACTTTTGCTTTTGTTTCTTCCTGACCGCCTTCTTCCTTCTTTCTTCCGCTTCCACGCTCCCGTTGTTTGGGTTACCGCCGATGTCTGACCGCGAAGGACACTGAAACATCGTCCAAATTCCTCACAGGTCGCGGCCGCGTGGCGCTCGCCTCTTCTCTTCTTTGATCCAGACGGATGGCTTCTATCTCGTTACGGATGACCCAAGACTTCTCTTTTGCCATTTGTCTTCTACGGACGACAACACATTCGACGGCTCTTCTGCTCCGAGATGAGGCGGAATAAGGCTGCGACCAAACATCAAGGCTGACTGACCATGACCAGACTGGACGGAAAATGTTGGATCGATGCCAAAAACGCCCGGTCCCCCCTCTCTCCTCTCGCTCAGCTCTTCCGTACTTTTCTTTTTTCCAAGCTCACCTCCGGTTCCAGGGATTCGGGATCGTGAGAGACAAGAGGGCGTCAATCGATGCGCGTTCTTGGGCGCCAATAGACCCAAGACACACATGCATCGCAGACACAGCTCGAGCGTTGCCCGCTTCATTTTGGTTTGCCCAGAGAGGCTTAGACTTGCCGCGCACTAACGTAGTAGACCACCTTCATGCTACGGTTCCATCCCTTTGCTGCTCGGGCCGCTTTCTCGACTTCGCTCCCATATCGATCAGAGACAGACGCAAACGGGGAAGGGCACGCGGGGCGCCCGTCAGAGACAGACGCAGCGAGCGCGGTCATCGTCTGATCTCATCCCACAATGCCACATGATATGCCGTTCTTTCCTACTACACGCTACGCTCTTGGACTTGCTGTGGGGGTTACTGCTTGGACCAGAAGCCCGCATTTTCATTGTGAACGATGTTCCGCGGGATGGTCTGCCTTTGTCCGCCGCGATTGAGACAATATGTTCCTCTCGACGATCTATCCCCCATAGCCTCCGTTGCACAAGGAACGTCAGGCAATGTTAGGCTCCTCGATCTTATGATCTCGTTCTCTGGAAAGAAGCTCCCGATGGCCACAATCAACTTGCCGAGCCGGGCCAAGAGCCGCCCGAGAAAGCTTGACTGGCAGCGGAGCACAGGAAGACGTGGGAGACGTCACGTTGCCCCGCCGCACCGGAGCACACGTCCGGGGTGCTGTATTCAACAGTTGGGAATACCTAGTTAGATTCGGACCCCTTGTCTGACCGAGAACTGGGCAGCAACTTCGACTTACACCATCATCGATGGTGCTCGGCATACCTGCCTTTCCAAAAAACGAAACCGAGAGCTTTGGACCTCTCTATAGTCTGCAAGAGAACCGATATATTGCTATCGGACAAGACGCATGTCTCAGTGTGTGTATACGAACATGGCAAGCCACATGACGCGCCGGATTGGTGCGGCGTCTCAACTCATCATCAGCAAGTAGGCTCCGTCCAGGCGGTCCATCTGCGGCAGCTCACTTCGGTACCTTGACTGCTCAATTCATCTGCCGATATGCGTATCTATCGACCCGTGTCACGTTTGACAGCTATGAGTGTTCTTATTCACCTTCTCGACAGAATAGGGATACGAAAGGGGAGAGAGAAGCCCCGGGCTGAGCACCGGGCCGCGCCCGTTCTGCCGCCGCGACCCAAAAGTGCACGCATATACTTTCGATAGCGGCGCCCGGCTGAGCCCCGTCTTATGCATATTTTCTTGCCAGCGAACCTAGCGCCGGTTCGCACAACCGTTGGTCCCCATCGTCTCCTCGTCCCCCTTTTATTAACCTCGTATTATGGCATTGAGACGCAGTTCTCAGCTCGTACGTTGCGAAAAGGAGTATTGTTTGGGCCGTTCGTTTCCCAGAGAACAAAGAGTAAATCAAACTTACCATCAAGCCCACGTTGCTTGGTGGCATATCGACTGGATACACACTGCCTAAGTACCGTCTTAAGCCATAGACGACAGCCACGGCGTCTACCGACAGGAGTTTGCGAAGTGCCTCAGCAGCCACGGAACAACGGCAGGCAAAGCGGAAAAGGACCCTGGAAAAGATTGGGAGTGGGCGTTCGTGTTTACGGTCTTGGATCAGAGAAAAGACGCCCAGACGCTATGAGGACCACTAGACGTGCACGGCTCCGTCCGTTGACGTCTTGTCTTTGACTTTGCATGTCATGTCTTTGACGTGCGAAGGAATCTCGTGGGGACCGGGTGACATCTCAGAAGAGAAGAGAAATAGGCTGAATCCGAGCACCTGTCTGTCCAGCAACTTCAAGCCAATGCCGCTTTGGCATATTCCCTTTTCCCCCTCCCTTTACCAGCCTCTCATACACGCCCCCGTACCTCTCACACGCCCCCTATTTCGACGGTCTCTTGTCAAGCACTTTTACACACGCCCCTGCGATGCAGACTAGCCGCACAACCGCGACCCACGGGTCCGGGGGAATCCAGCAGGCGACGGACGGCTCGTCTGCATTCCATGTGGAGGCACGTCGTTTGCTCGCTCGCCTTGCCTTGCTTCTGCCGCACCACTAGTTCGTTCCTCTCGAACGCGGTGGCGTGCGCCAGATTTATGTGACCCACCGATCTGTGGTCTCTCGGTTCTGGTTCCCGGTTTTCCCACGCGTCAGGGGGGGCTGGGCTGGGCAATGTGGCTTGCGCTTGAGCTGTTTTGACGTCGCTTCTCGGATGCTTTGGTCTTGCTGTCGAGGCACGTGTACATCGAGGAAGGGAGAGGCGCCGGGTAAGTGTTGAGAGTCGGATAGATCGAGACGGAACGGTAGTTCGGGCCGAGATGAGGGCGGATTGGACTCGGATGGACTCTAAGTGATATAATAAGGACCATAATATAGGACTGTAGTTGAATGTTGCGGCTTATCTCATTTCACGCACGCAGACGCCAGTAGTGGAGCTGCGAGCGTACCATGAGAAGATCAGGTTCCTGCAAGCCTGTACATATCAACAGTCCGTAGTCGAGCTTTTTTGCGAGGTGCAAAACAGTTTGTCGTTCTTCAAATCATTGTTCCTCCACGTAACAGACACCCGAGGACACAGAACTGTCCTGTGCTGCCTCCGCGCGAAGCGGTATGTCTGTCCTGAATGACGTGTCTTCTCGAGAGTCATGTGAGTTTTTCGGAAGTATTCAAACAGAATGATTTGACGGTGAAGGTCAGCGACGGAAGACGGAAACTTAAGTGGTTTGTGGTTTTGGAAAAAGACATCATGTGTGTCTAATTACGAATTTGTCTGCTTCAGACGTTAAATACCCTTATCGGCTACTTACGATTAGTCCGAGCATGGGACTTACCGATGGCGAGCACTTGAAAGTCTCGACATGTGCTCATGGTTTGAAATCCTATCATAACTACTGTCACTGTGGGTATATATTGATGCCCTTTTCCCATCGAGAAACTACACACATGCATGCCTTGAACTGGACAGGTGCGCTTTCGAATCGAATGACTCCTAGTCGGTACCGCTGACTTGATCGAGTACCCTGACCATGCTGCGCACGACATGCTGATATGCGTTTGTGTTTGTCTTGTTTTGTTCTGCATTCGTGTTCCTGATGAGCATTCGGAAACGAATAGACGAGGGGCGACAGTAATAGTGAGAAGAGACGAGTATATATGTGCTAAGCTGGATATGGGATGTTTCCATTCACAATGTTCTCCTCGGAGACTTCAATGACGTTGACAGAGATCTTCAGAAGCTTGACAACGACCATTTCCTCCCAAAGTCCTTGCTGATCAACAGAGTACAATGACTTTGTACGTAGGACATAATATACCTGACACCAGCTCCTCAGAGAAGTCGGCATGTTCAAGGCTATGACTTGGATAAATAGCATATTGTAGACCGGACGTGTGGTCCAAAGGATGCCAACGCTTTGAATGCGCACGATGTCGCAACGTCATGTGATCCGGAAGATACGCCGATATATCACAGAGGTCTTCTGACTGCATAACGAGCATGGTTCCTTCAGAGTTGGTGCCCGTCTGGTCACGCATCAACGAAGACTCATCACCATCACGTCGCGGGTGGGTGCTTGGCTAGACAAGAAACTCCAAAGCTGAGGTCAGCGATACCACTTAAATCATTTTAATCGCACTGCTTCAGCGCTTTCACATGCATTGTCAAGACGGCAAGTGCTTCGCACGAACTGGGGTGGCAGCGGTGAATTCTGATCCATTCTGAGCCGTATCTTAGGACAGAACAATCATTTGCAGATTGAACGCTTCAATTCGCCTTATTATACATACCATACTTCGCTCCTTTTGATAGGGAGGTGTCATATCCTGCGGCTGGGATACTTGGTATGTCGGGAGTTGGTTTATTGTCATCAAACCCCACTACATATACTATGCGGTTGAGTATTGGCCAGTATCAGGATTAGTAGGAGACACCGGAGCACATTCTATACGACAAAAGCTGATCATTCATTGGCTAGTAGGCAGTAGAGATTTGTCGGGCAGATAGTAAATGCGGATAGTAAACGCCATGAGTACCTTGCTGGAACGCTCCTATCAAGAGCAACTAGGCGTAAATATTAAGCTTTCAGCCACTGCTCTCAAATTCGGATAATCTAAATAGCCTGTCGTAGTAACCGGCGTGAAGTGTTTGAGCGTGAGAAAACGTCTATACGATGGACCATCCTCTCATGTGGCTGCGTTGGTACTTAGTAACGGCCCACCAACGAAGAATCATATGATTTGCAGCAAATCCCCCGTCGGGCTTCTTGACATGAGTGAGGACAGTCTACTGAGAGACAAAACATAAATGAAGTCTTTTCCATGCAATATAGATAAACTAGCATAGAACGGAGGAGCTAGGGGCGCCATACACTGAACATTCAGGTTCCGCCTCATCCTTGACCGTCTCCGGAGATGATGAACACACAACAGTGCCGTCGAAGTTCTCTCGCCGCATGCCTGCTATTTACAACACATAGCACGAGTTGCGTCCTCGCTATTCTTCTTCCTGAGATTCCCTTCGCAGACCTTCTATCGTCGTGATGTTGAGATGGTCGTCCTTCGGTGTGCATTCTTCCAAGCTTTTCCCTTGAGAGTGCTTCCAGGACTTCTCGGCTTGTGATGAGGGGTCATCCATCATGTTTTTGTAAGTTGAACTACTACCTACGCGACAGAAATATCGGGAAGAATATGAAGCAAAATTTCTTGATATTTTCTCAGACGACCGAGGCCTGATGCGATTGGTATTACCCATGGGTACCCAAAATTACCCAAACCCCCATGGGTTACCCAAGATACCCACGCGTTACCCAAACTACCCAGATGCCCATGGGTTACCCAACTACTCACGGGTTTTCCAAGTACCCAGATATCCATAAACCAGATACGCATAGATTATTCAAACGCTCCAAACGCAAACAGTCTCCGACCCAAAAGAAGTCCCTGACTAACCCGACCTATTTATTACCCAAACACCCAAAAACTGACAGGTTACCCAATCTATACAAAAACTCATGAGTTGCCCAGATGTACACGGGTTACACAGATATCTAAATACCTCTAAGTTACCTGAAATACCGACGGGTTATTCAAAATACCCACGAATTACCCACGATACCCACGAATTACCCAAACTACCCATGGGTTACCCAAACTGCCCATGGGTTACCCAAACTGCCCACGAATTACCCACGATACCCACGATACCCACGAATTACCCAAACTACCCACGACAAACTACCCATAGGTTACCGCTACCCATGGGTCACCCAAGCTATCCACGGTTTTCATCAGTACCCACGTTTTATCTAAATATAGCATGTTTTGTCGGTGGACTTGGCGAGAGCTCGAATAGATTGAAAAGAGAAGGTGAGCTGCATTGTACGGCGCGGCGAATTGTCGTTTTTGCCAGATACTCAAAAGCCAACGGGTTTCCCAGATACCCATGGGTTACCCAAATACCCACGGGTTACCCAAATATCCACGGATTGCTCAACTCCCCACCGGTTACCCAGATACCCCTGAGCTAACCAACTACCCACGGGTTACCCAATTACCCATGGGTACCCATGGGCCGGGTGGTTCCAAGACTTGGGCCACCTGGGGAAGCTGCACAGTTATATGTGCCATTCTTTTGCGATACGACTGGTGTAGAAGGTGTCGAGAAGCAACACTATGCCGAGTCACATGAGACCATGAGAGACGGAACATTCAAGGCGAGGAGGACAGTAGCGTCCCTTCGTTTAGTTGCTAAAATGGCAGCGCTTGAACACGACAACAGATAAATCTCGCCTTGAGTCCGGATGTTCAGTCCCAACTAAGTATCCTCTCTCGGCCAGGGATGTCTGAGGATTCCACGGCTATTGAGTGAGAATGAGACCGATTAGTTCTGGAAACGTTTCTTCAAGATCTATATGGCACGTTGCCGACCAATCGCCTCCTTGTTTTGAACACGGCCGTCCGGCGACATCTAGCAGAGCTGACTTTCCTCGGTGGATCGTGATCTTCACCCGACAACGACTCCCTCCTGCGCTCCTGTTCCGGCATCACGAAGAGGGACGGGTCTTAACGAGGTCGCCGGTCAAGTCGGCAAGCTTCCTATCAGATGTGTGTCTTCTCACGAGTGGTGTGTCAGCCCTGACGTCTCTCCATCAACCACGCTTTTTGGCCACCTACGAAGGAGCTTGCTATTTCAGCGTTCACATCATTGAAACAGGTCGCCTTCATGTGGAGAAGTGGCGACGGCTTGGATGTTCGCCCAGTGCAATCCGTCTCCCATTTGAAACCGATTTGGCTGGACACCACAAGTGAGAGAGATAATCTTTGATATTAGCCGTTTAAGTAAAGCACGGAGCCCAGTGTTGACACAGACCATGGCACATCCTGAGTCCACTTGATGCGTCTCCCAGCTTCTCTCATAATATGAGACGAAGACAACCCAATTGGCCACAAGTTGCCTGCGGAGCTGCGGGAACTCATATTGTCTCGGGCAAGACGTAAGGCTGGCTACACGTGTACGACATGCACTGCAAAACTCGCTTGTGTCATGGTTCATGGCTCTCGGAACGGAGCGGGCCTTGTTACTATATCGGGAGAAAGCGGACAGATCGTCGTGCGGGGTATCAAACTCTCTTCTGTGCGACGAAACTTGTTCCTTGTGATCGCCGAGGTTGTTCGTACGACGGTACGGTGCAGTTTGTGAACTTCTGACGTTTATGGTTCCTCCACCGGCAACAAGATCACACTCGGAAATAGGCAGCTTTGTTGAACTAGCATTACTATGGCTTAGATACGATTAGTGTTCCAACGCTCAATGGCGTGAAATTGTCCACTGAAGGTTCCCAGGAGAGCACATTCTCGCCCTACGAGACCCTGAGCCACGAACAAGTATCCAGTAGAGATAGACAAATATGTAGTTAAAATAGTGACAATGAAAGAAGGTATGAAGTCTAGCGGAGCCGAGTCAGCTCGAGTAAGTCGTGCTGATGGAAATACGCGCGAACGCGCTTGCCATAGATGTCTGCAAGTGAATTAGTTTGGGTGTAGCTAGTTCTTTGGAAGGTGACTTACACATAGGAATGCTCAAAGCGCAGACCACAACCTGGATACTGGCGATGGCAATCATTGTGGGCTTGATACCGCCGTCGATGATCCAGTCGTAGGCGCTGTAAGTCAGGCCGAAGCTGAAAATGTTCTTGAAAATGATCATACAGGTGAAGCCTTCGATGGCGAGGTCACGATAGGCGTCAACAATGTATAAAGAGCTTGCGACGGCACCGATCACCATACCCGCGACTTCGAAACCGAAGAAGACAAGCGGAACGCTGTAGTGGAAGTGCCTATCGATAAGACCGGCCGCAGTGATTCCGAAACCATAGAGACCGATGGAGCCGATGATGAACATGGGAATCACCATGACGATGCGGAATTCGGGCTCGTAAACGCCGTTGTTACGACGGGTCAAGAACTTGGCGCTCCAGTCGGAAAACGCACCGGCGATGATGAACCCAACGAGTGCTCCGACAAACGCTCCGACGTACGCGTACCCAGCGTAAACCTCATTCCAGTAGTAAGGAGGTCCCAAGAAGATGGCAGCTACGATGACACCAATGAAGACTGTCCAGCCGATCATGGTTCCCTGAACGAGGCAGCCCCATATGAATGCTGGCTGGGCGAAGAGCGGGAACGGGCGTAGAAGGAGCTTCCAGTAGCTTTCATTCGTCTTGCGACCGTCGAAAAGGTTGAGAGATTGTATGAAAGTCTTCTCCCGATATTCAACTCCATGGTTTGACCCCATACCAGGTGCCTGCGTGGCCGTGTCTGCTGGGTTCTTCTCGTGATCATACGGCATGTTGCCCTGGCCATAGTTGCCTGCCAGTTTGGCGTCGTTATCGTTCGGCCTAGCCACCATATCGGTATTCAAGGCGGCATCGCGTCGATAAGCGGTTTCGGGGCACAAGAAGATGACGGCGGGAAGCATGACGGCACAGAAGATTGCCTCAAGGTAAAACGTCCACCACCAGCCGATGCTGTGGGTAATCTTGCCCACGACGATGGGGGTGAAGAAGGCGCCGCCAAACACAGCCAGGTTCGTGAAGGCCATGCGGGAGCCCCGCTGGTGGACGAAGTACAAATCACCCACAGCGGCATTGACGAGGGTCTCGAAGGGAGCGCAGCCAACACCCTGGACGATGCGCGCCCCAAGCAGCGAGTTGTAATTGGTGCCGACTGCACCGGCCCAGGCGGACGAGGCGATGAGAATGCATATTCCAATGATGAACAGGTGTCGCTTGCCCCAGACACGACCCGATGGCACAAAAAAGATGGCAGCTGCACCAACTCCCAGCAGGAAGTAGCCCGTCAACAAAGCAACGTTGGTGAAGCTCCTGCGGAAGAGAAGAGCGACCGTGACGGTGTTCGCGGCGAGGATGGGACCGAGGGCGGTTGCGAAGATGGCGGTAATGGAGAGGACGAAGGTGATGAGGTCGCGCTTCCAAAGGGGCCAATTGAGAGGGTCGTTCGGGTCGTCGGAGGGCTGGGGAATCTGGAGAAGGATGTCAGCGGGAATGGCGGGTCGCAATACGGCTCGTGGAGTAGCATACCAAAATAATGGGCACATCACCACTGTTGTCGACCTTCAATCCATGGTGAGCATCGGTCGCAGCTTGCGGTCGGTCAGGGTCGTCGAAGTAGCGCGTCGTGCCTGCGGTTTGGACGTGGTCAGGATTGGGATGACAGGAGGACAGAGCGGGGGGCCATTGATGCGCGGGACTCACTCACCTGGGACATGGTCCAAGGTCTTGGACTCCAAAACACCTAGACCCATTGTTGCAGATGTCGTTCCTCGAAGCGCGTGGTGCAGCAAAGAAGAGTCGAGTCGAGTGATCACGACATGACAAGACGTGTGGAACGAAGTCTGGACGGATGAGGTGGCTGGAAATCGCAGATGTTAAAAGACATGTCGAGCTAAATGGAAGTTACCGTAGCCAGCGGTTAACGGTTAAGAAGTGGGCGGCAAAAAGTCTAATGATGCTAACTGGAAAGGTAAGGTAGGTATCAATACTTAGTGCCGACGGCATCTTTGGCTGGGAGATGTTGTGGTGTGACCCTGGAACGACAGCACCTGAACCTAAGGTAAGAGTCCCAGGTCGGCGGAGTGGGCGGGGCCATTCGGCGCCGTTGAAGGGGCCTGGATTTGACCCAGTGCCTGTCTTTGCTTCGGCATTTGCGGGCTTGGGGTCGCTGGGGTCTCCGCATGGCCCGCAAAATCTTGTGGCTCATTAAACCTTATTCAGCAGGCCGTCGGGCTGGCAGTGAAGCCCGCCCCGTGTCGCGATTTAGGTAAATGCAGCCAAACCCCAGCAACAAAAACTCCAATCTTCCGGGCGGGGCACACAGCTTGCCCGTGATCGATGAGGTGGTAGTTGGATACGGCAGGCAGACAGGACAGGCGGGACAGGGCAGCACAGCTCCGCGGCGGGATAAAGTTGACGCTGAAGCCGTCGCGGCTCAGGCTTGGCGAGTCAATTATTGATGCTTTTTTGTTTCCAGGATCCCATCATCATGACGACTTCATTTTCAGCAAAACTCCCTTAACTTACCCAGAAAAAAAAGACCCAGCCTCTCTCTAACCGGAATATGCTTTCAGGCACCATGATCGAAATCCTGATTCCCAAACTGTGTGACTGAGTCAACGAAGACTTCCCGTGCACATTCCCAAAACATCCATCACACCCTCTTTGCGGAAACAACTCTTTCCTGATTGGAACTTTTATTCCTCGTAAACGAATGGCCCTCATTCCTTGCAACTGAAGCCAAAATCTTGGCAGTCCGAACATCCAAGTATTCCCCCGCGCTAACTAGCATCTCCCCTTCTTTCATGAACCGCAATCGAGCAGTTCGGCGCAGGGTCCGGAGAATAGAGATAAGCTTCAGATGTGCAAGGATGTCTTCACTTGAATAGGTAATTGGCCGACAAGTTGCGTCCTTAGGCTGGTGGTCTAAGCCTCATCAACATCGTGCTTACTATTCAACCTCACGTCGGCCGACGGGTCCGCCTCCGAAAAGAATGGACCATGGTCAGGACCATGGACACTGGAACAAATTGCGAAAAAAATCCCTCTTTTCTTCTAACTGCATCATTGTGCTGACGCGCTGGAGACTCGTTTCATCACCAGTCTTTTGTCCGAACCAGCCCGTTTTGAACGCGCCCAAAACCATCGCAATGCCATCATTGTTTTTCCCTCCATTTGCACCTGAACACCTCCGTTCGTTGCATTTTCTATCAGCAGTTGATCTGCGCGAGAGGTGTCGCAGTCATGCCACTCGAGAATCGTCGTGGCGATTCAAGTCGGACCGCCACTTGTTTCAAGCCTCAGCCGTATTTCCCTCAGCACCACCCCCAGGTAATGTCTTTGGTACACTCCATACACTATCATATATAGGAATAGAAATCCACATATATCAAAGCGATCATTCGAGCCGATAGCCAGCCCAGAGCTTCCCAAATATTGCCGAACAATCATAAAAAGATCCGAAAGCACAGCTTCGCGGAATAGTGATAATGTGCGGCCGAGAGATTTCCGTCTGGGTGTCATTGACAGGATGTATGCGCGGCGCGACGTAAAGTTCGACTTGCCACATCGCAGTCATGCCGCCAGCCGCTATTGCGTTGGAACTGGAGGATAAGGTGTGTTCGGTCGAAATGATGTACAATACCGACACCTGGAAGCAGCAAACAAACTCGAGGCAATACGGATGAATTGGCGGTGACGAGGGCCGTGTCGTGGGAGACTGCATGGGTTCTTACCTACTCGGGCGAAGCGTTCTTGCAAACGGGGCGGATTTGGAAGGAACGAGACGGCACGAAACAACCTCCTGCCGCAACGACATGGGCACCTGTTCTCTCTCTGGTCCGCGTCCTTTATCACTCGACAGAATTTCGAATGATCCTAACAGCAAGCAAACAATAACCTCGAGGCGTGGTTGGAGTAGTGGTTAACTCGTTGCCCTCCCATAACCGTTGAAAGGCAGAAAGTAGGTCGATATCCTCCCAGTTTTCGGAACTTGGCTAATCTGAACAGCACTGGTTCGAACCCGGTGCCGCGCATCAAATCTTTTTGCTCCTCTTCTCACTTTTTGGGGCGCTCTACCGACCCCAAATTCGAATCGACAAACCTCTTCATGATGCGCAACCAATGGAGGGGCCCTGCCTGCCGCCCCTGGCGCAAAGACCGGCATTATCAGTCGACGAGCCCCTGCGTTGTTCAGTATTGCGCTGTTGTGCCGGTTGTCAGAGTCCTTGCTTGTACTCGACTTATGACGTTGCTTAGGCCATGCGGGGGCGACAAATATGCAGGTGGCTTGCCAGCATCTTTGGTGTCTGGTACAGCAGGTGCCAGCACGCGGTAAGTCAATACATGGAAGAACGTAACTGATTATAGAATCCTAGGTTGAATACAGGCCTATTCGGGGCCACCAGACGTTTACGAAAGTTCCTAGACGAAGAACCTGGATGGAAGCTCCAGCTAGACGGGCGCATAGTTCAGTACTTGCTGGAAACTATACAATCGACTATAGGATGATCCTTTGGGCTGTAGTCTGGACGTCCATTGGCCAGATAGGTCTGTAAAGACTAGTTTGGCGAGTTGGTTGGCGGGCGCAGCTAGGATAAGGAGGTTCCAGTGGCAATTCATGCAGCTTTGGGCCTTTTGCTAACACTTTCTTTCCCCTCAGATGGCAGTCGGCAACACGGATCGACCTGTCAAAAACGTAAATTTCGGGCGGCTATCGAAGGCGACTCGAAGCTTCTGACTTCGAAACATTCAAAACCGGGGGAGCAATACGCGAGGGGAGCCAAACCGACGGGCGCCCAAGCCGCGACGACTGCAAATGGCGCACTTTCCATGCTTCGACAAGTACTAAACGGTCCGACCGCCGGCGAATCGACGATCAGCAGCAGCGAGCTGGCAATATTGGAAATACATGCATCACGGAGGCCATTGACGCGTTTGAAGTATGCGATGGAAAGTGACATCATTCAGGCAGTAATGCTGGAGAAAATCCGCTTTGTAACGCTACAGGTTTGTAAGTACACACGAATTTTCTGTACAACTGCGGCCCGCGAAGGGCTCAACTCAACAATACATCGCAACTTGGACGAAGCACGTTCCTATTTTTGAAACATATCCATGAGAGAGGGGTCTCCAAGGCTCAGATGTCCTCCATTGAAGAAGTTGCCAATCATCTCGAAAGACTCTTCGAACTCTGGCAGGAGTGTAGCATTTGTGAACGAGGACGGGTGATCATGTTGCTGCTGACCCATCACATCTGGGTGGTGATGTCCCCAAGACATCGGTGCCCCAGCAGCAGCGCCCTGGACGTTGTTCGGCGACAACATACCGATCCTGTGTGGTGCACGATCATCGATGGTCATCGCCGTAGCCGGAGTTGGGCCTGCCCTTGGATTGGCAGCGGAACCATGGGCAGCACCCTCAACCCGGGCGGTGACCTTTTTCAGAGCCCTCTCCAGCCCGAATTGGATCGCGGACGGAGAGCTGGCCGACCAGACTGCATTTTGCTTCTGCGCGGCCTTCAACAATTGGAGCACTTCCATGCTGCGCGTAACACCACCCTCCGCGCCGCCGTACGGTGGTTTCTGTTCATACTTGGAAATGATGAGCATCGCATAGGCGACGCATAGGCGGTGGAATTCAGGCAGCTCTTCGGCGCGCGCCGAAGGCATCTCCACAAACGCCCTGACGACCTCCGTCGCCAAGTTGCACACTCTCGCATGCGCCAAGTTCCACAGCTCCGGGTTCTGACTCGGAAGGTGAGGCTCCTGTCGTACGGCATCTGCTGGTTGTAGCCGGGGCGAACTCGAGAGGGAGTCCTGGTCTGACGACGCCTGGTCATGCTCCAGGGTGCGTCGTGCCAAAATCAGCCACGCGATGGAATGGCTTATTCTCAAGGTTGACGCCGCGGGAAGGTCTTGGCGGCAATGTGAGCGTGTTGCTCTCGGTGGACGATTGGCATGGGTGACTCACCGAAAAGATAACTCCACCTCGATCTCCACGCCGTCAACTCCTCACAGTCCCCATCCGCGCCAAGATACGACCGCTGCGAAAACTTATCATGAAGGATGAGATACAGCGTTATCTCGGCGTACAGCATGGCGTCTCGCATGGTTACTTCCTCAAAATTGAGGAGGAGCTTGCACTGCGTCAGGTAGGCCGGCGGTACGGTTGCCGGTCTTCCTGTGGTAGCGGCCCAGCTGGTGAAGGCAAGTTAAGTTAGTATCTGCGACGAAAATGTTTCCAGGCAACAACTGACTGGAGATTGACTAGACACGTATTGGCCCAGAACCGCATTACTCTTTGATCATCCTCAGTCGCGGTTCTTGTCTTTGTCCTCGTCAGGATCTCTGAAAAGTTGATGCTCAGCATCGCTTGTTGTGCACAATGCCCGCTCAGCAACCAACTATCCACATATTCGGGGTTCTGTCAATGACTTAGCTCAGCTACATCTCTCCAGAAAACCAAAATATCTCAAGAATGGGTATTGGTGTTTGCCGGATCGCTCAACGTACCGTCGGCGCACAAGCCCATAGGGACATAATCAGAATCCCCAGAAGCTCTTCCAAGGGCAAAGGACTCTCGATCATCAGTCGACTCAGCTCTCCCTTCACATGATCAAACAATTCTCGATGCAAGTTAGAGGTACTGTGCTGGGAGAACCGCATGGCATGAAGACAACAAACGTCGTGCAGAAACGGCGAAGCTGTCCGTAGGTCTCGAGATCTTGGCGCCAGATCCACCTCACTGTTGAGCAGTAAGGTATGTTTTCTTCGTTGAACAAATCTGGTTTGTGTTAGCAGTACATCAAAAGGCAAGAAGTTTTATCTGCTAATGAAAAGACTGGAACGGCATGGCCGTCGTAGCCTCGTTCTCCCATTGTTGATGTAGCAACTTTTGTTCCCATACGGCCTCGCCTCGTACCGCTTCTTCCCCCGGTCTATACGTTTTTCTTTGAAGTAGGTAACGACGAACCGAGTTTTAAAAAAAAAATACTGAGAAGAAATTTACTCACTCTGCAAGCAGGTCCCTCGCCGTCTTTACGTCCAATTTACCCAACGAAACAACGTCTGCCTTAGTTTTGAATGTCCTCTGGAACCCTCCGCTCAGCTGGCTTCCGACTTTCCGTACGACCTCGGCGAGGGAGGAGGAAACATGCCGGTCCGCCGGTTCGACGTCTTCGTTCCCGGGCGGCCTGATAGTGATGACGGTTCCGCCGCTCCCAACGCTTCCGACGCCGTCATTGTCATCAATAACGCTGCCGCCCGTCGCATTCCTTTCCGAGGCGTTTTTCTCCTGACGTGCGACTACCAGAGTTCTCCTGAACTCCGGTCTGCCGCCCGCCACGAGCATTTCTACAGTCGCCTTCAGATCGGCTATTGACGCCTCCATACTCTTGATTCTGTCGAGTTGGCTTCTCTTCGTGCCACTTTTGTGTGGGAAATTTATTTTAGAGACAACATTCTTCAGCTAAAACTTAAGGGGATGCGAGGAAACTCACCTCCCTTCGACATCTGGTTTACTCGGTGCCTCCCGCGAGGAGACGGAATGTGTGTCACCGCTGTCATTCCACGTACAAGTGATCCTAAGTTGATCAGTCAACAATTCGTCCCCGTATCTCTAAATCCATGATGGCTTTTTTTCCCCTCCAGCCGCCAGCAATGGTTTTCTCTTTCCTCCGCCGACCATCACATAATAATAAATTGTAACCCCTGAACACGCCAAAACGGGGAATCGTTCACCAACATGTTACGTACCTCAACGATCGACACCGTGAACACTGATCCGACTCCTCGTCCAACTCGCACCGGCACTTTTGCCTGCGACACGTATCACACGAAAGAATCCGCCTCCTTCTCTTCCGGTTCGACTCATCCCGGCCGGCGCCGCCGCCGGCGCCGCCGCCGCCACCTCCGGCTGCCGCTTCATCCCGACCCTCGTCGCTCAGTCTGCGGCGGCGGGTATTAGATGCATCCGTATCGTTTTGCGTCGTCGCCATTATCCGTTTCCCAGGGGGAAAAGGAAAAGAAAAAAAATCAGTCACGATAACGATTCACAGTGTGTGAAGCCCGGGCCGGAGTTTGGAGCGGCGTGTTTGGCGATGTTGAGGCCGATGACTGAAGGTCGGCGGCGGTCAAAATGCGCCCCCAGAAAATGTTTCGTATCTAAACGGAGACCGGCGGCGCTTGCTTATCGCACCAATCAGACGAACCTGAGGCTGAGTGCCCACTAGCCCAGCGCGTGCGTGGGAACCCGCAACGCGCAGCGCGGGCGCGGTAGATAACCGGATTCCGACGGGCCGGGGCTTGCTGTCAGACCCAAACTTGGAAACCGCGCCCCCGATCTGCTTTGCATTTCCGGGGGAGACCAGTGGCGATAAAACGTGGTTGTGTGACATGGGACAGGATGCAAGTTTAAAGTCGAACTATATGCGCATATATATCTATATACCTATCTATACATATCTATACATCTTGATGTTGGTCTCAAGACGGTACATACAATTCGGGACCAAAAAATAGTTCGGACGTTTCCTCCGGATTTGACAGGAAAAACTTCGACGCAAATTCACCAGTTTGAACGTGTTTTCACTTATAACTTCATTTCTTCCTGGAACATCTCATATTTTTCAAAGCTACAATTAATCATGGCTACCACCACAGCCGTCACAGAAGATACGATCCCCGCGGGGATGAAGAAGATACACTTGGGAAGCTATGAAGGCCCGACGTACAGATTGGTCTCGACGAACCCGCCTCGCGACTGTACACCGGACGAAATCCCCATCATCGACTTGACGGGTATCCACGGCGACCTCGACGCGCGCAAGACCGTCGCCAGCGAGATGCTGCATGCCGCCAAGACGAGCGGCTTCTTTTACGTCAAAAACCACGGCATCCCCGAGGACGTGACCGAGGCCGCATACCAAAAGGGACTAGAGTAGGCCTACCTTGACTTTCTTGTTTAAATAACAATGAATCAAATGATATGTTTTATTTCACAGCCACGTCTGACTGACTTACACGCGATTTGATACAACAGATTCTTCAAGCTCCCGGAGCAGGAGAAACGCAAGCTGACCTCGAACACGTCGGCGTACGGGTACTGCGGGTTCCGGGAAATCCAGGCCAACAAGCACGAGACAAAGGACCGGAAAGAGGCCTTCATGTTTCACTACGAGCCCGACTTCGACCCGTTGCACGAGGACCGCTTGGACCAGGTCCCCGCCCACGTCCGCCGTCACCTGCCCAAGGAGGACTTCGTCTGGGCCGACGCGGGCGACGACGCCGTCCTGCCGGGCTTCAAGTCCGCCCTCCTGGCCCACTGGCGCGACGGCCTGGCGCTGTGTCGCCGTCTGATCCGGATCATCGCGCTCGCGCTGGAGCTCCCGGAGGACCACTTCGACTCGGTGACGACGTATCCGGGCGGCGATTTCGCCGTCAACTTTTACCCCGGCCACGGCGACGATCCCGTCGAGGACCCGGACGAGGTCGGCGTCGGGGCCCACACGGACCTCCAGATCCTGACCCTGCTGTGGCAGGACCGGAACAAGGGTCTCCAGGTGCTCAACAGTTCTGGCGAGTGGATGTGGGCGCCGCCGGTGCCCGGGACTTTTGTCGTCAACATTGGGGATTTTCTCATGCGGCTCACGAATGACCGGCTCAAGTCGACTGTACACCGTGTGCTGCAACACGGCCGAGAGGACCGGATCTCGATGCCTTTGTTCTTCGGTAGGCTTGCTCCTGATTTCCCCGCGTCGTCCTCCGAACATGAGGTCATAGATCTCCAAACGATAGGCCAAAAGCCCATCTCCCGACTCTCGTGGATTGTTTAAAGTGATGGAAAACCTGTTTCGTTAGTAGACCACTGACCTATTGCAGGGTTCAACTTCGATCAGAAACTCGGTGTGCTGCCTACGTGCGTCGATGATGAGCATCCGGCCAAGTACGAACCCGTAACTTGCGGCGAGGTGAGTGCACTGTTTTGTCCGAGACTTTCAGCGACGCCCGTTAACATGAGACAACCAGCTCATCGCGAAGCGCTTGGCGGGCACGGAACTAACGCCTCGCTCCAATGGCGCGTGAGGCCTGACCGGCGGAAGGCATGAAGGCTCGAGATCGTGATCGGTGCCAGCGTTGAAGAGGGGGCTCACCCAATTGTCGTCGAGGCCGTCGTAAGCCGTGCATTCCAAAACCCGCAACAGCGCGTATGCGAGGAGACCAATACCACACAAAGTTGCAGAACGATGTAGCCGTTTGACCCGTCATCGCTGCTCGGGAGGCACCCAGCCTCATCCCGAAGGTTTCCGAGGCCTCGGCTTGCCCTAATCATGAGAGATCTGCAACACCGCCGACCACCGCCAATTGCACGTGCAGTGTCGCGGGTCTGAGGTTCGTCCAGGGGCCATGCAGCGTTACATGGTCAGACTGAAAAAATGACGAGTGACGCCGCGGAAGTCCTGGTCTTGATGGGATAGCACGGATCAGATCGATGTATTGGCGCGATCAAGACGGTCGCTGCTATCAATCCGTCTATTCAGAGACTTGCCCAGGTTGCGAACTGGGAAAAGAGGAAGCCAGGCTGAAAGAGATTGTAGTTTGTTCTCTCGGGTAGATCAGAAAATCGATCCCCCACGATAACCCCGCAGGCAGAGGAATTCATCTGAGCCATTTAGCATGCTCCTAGAATCTCTGGATGTGATTCCGTGATGATCGACCCCGCCTTGGGATGCAGGCTTCATTGACTGTCCGTGGTTTCGTATGGAGCACTCTTCGTTCTGCTTCTCCATTCGGCAACTTCAGCGATATTGAGGAATAGCCAGCCACCGCCTTTTGAAGTTGGGAATCTGCAGGTAGCAAACGAACGGCGCTGAGGTCGAATATGTATGTACAATTCGAGAAGTGCGCATAGTCTCGCTCTACCCTTACATTGTGGCTTGTTTGTGGCTATTGCCCGCCGTGTGAGTCCATATCGAATTTCAGATCAAGCATACTACCTATGGTAGTGTCGCTCACTTACTCTAGCCTGGGTATGACTGAGGCCCAAACCGGCTGCAGTTACACCTAGGGCGTTGATCGCGGCCATTGGTAGCTTGGCGCAGTGAAGCTATCATCGAGCGGCGGAAACTCGTAACTTCAAGCCGGTCAAGCCGGACTAGCGCCTGCAGCGCTCGAAGTATTTCGGCATTGGAGTGAGGTGAGTCTGCCGGATAAGCCCGCATCCGCAAGGATTCTGATCAGTCATATCTGTAACAGGTGGCCAACGCAGAGCTTCTGTGGTTTGTGGCAACATGTTTCTGATGCTGACGTCCCAGCAACGCCAGACTCCCCGCTGTTGGTGTCGACATCGTACGACATCAGGAGCGGGAAAGACTTGGACTAGAGCCTTGCCAAGCGCCCAAGCTGTCAAGTGCGCACGCCTCAGGACTCTGGAGTGGCTGACAGAGACGGCAACCGCGAGGACGGAACGCTGCCAAGAGACTCGGTTGATCCTGGTCAAGGACGACAAGGGCCGCCAAATTCGATCGTCCCGATCCAGCGATCTCTAGGAGAGGCTGCACTTCTCCAGATCGGAGTTTTGCAGTCTTGTCTGGCCCTTGGCAAGCCGTTGTTTCTCTCCTCATCTCTGGCGTGGGCATCGTCCGTCGTTTTGTATCGAGGAATTGTACTGTGTACTTTTCAACCTGATGATTCCTCGTGCGTTTCCCTTTTCGCTCTTCTTGTCATAATGCTGAGCGGATGCACAATCAACCAATGCCTGAAGACACCGGGAGGCTGGCTGTGGACTTGACAGCTGAAGGCAGCAGTGTTGAGCAAACCTGCCGAGCATCGGTGGACCAATCTGGACTTCCTGGCCTTCAACCCGGTTGGCGGGTGCGAATCTCGGCTCTCCTAAACAACCGCTCAAAGTCATCAAGAGACTCTCAACACCTAGCTGGACGATTTCGCGCTTTGCAGCTGATGTTGCGCGAGACGATGCTGAATAGAGTATTCAAAAGTCTCGTCGCCCTTCAATGGTGCATATGTCCAAACAAGAGACTAAACAGTTGTTCGAGCTGGAAGCACCAGAGAATACAACGCTAGACAGGCATAATGACAGGCTGTTGTAGCTCCTGCAGCCGCGACGCACGGAAGAATGCATAAGTGGAAGTCGTACGGCTGGGTTCAGAGTACATGGCCCGTCTCTTGAAAGGTTACAGCACTCTGCACGTGCCCTGAATTGCTTTGTGGCTGGCGTCTTCAAAACGGGTTTTTGGCCGAGTGAGTGAATTAGTCTGCTGCGTCGTTTGAAGTTGGTTGGGTTGAGTGAGGCGCTGTGTAATTCCTGTCTGTAAAGCACCACAAGGATACTGTAGCCATGCCACCGGCACAGTTTTGGTGTACGGAGTGCTCCTTTCCAGAAGATCATGCGACGGCAACGTAGACCGGCCCGAAACCTGCGAGTGCGATAACAGTCGTGCCAGTCTGACAACACAAACAATTTGACCGTTGGTGGCTGACCGGAGGAACGTTCAGTGGAGGTGTCAGATTGGGTGGTCCGGAATGTGGGGACGAACAGGATGTTGACAGGGCCGGAATGTGTGGTCCGGACGCCTTGGAACTGCAGTCCCGAGGTCGGCTTCAGTACCCGACTAGGGGTTCCCAAGTTTTTGACACGAAGTTTGGTCGTCTGGTGGTGTTCTCAGGACACAGACAGCAGAACTTCTGCCAGCAGAGCCGTGCATGGAAACCGCACATGTCACTGGGGTAGGTAGGTTGAGTGAGGTAGGGCTGAGAGAATTTCCAAAGAAGCGAGTAGCACCTAGCTTCGGATCTTATGGCGACTGCGACTGGTGGTGTGAGCAAGTGAACCCGGCGGCTGCAGGTCACGGAAGTCGATGTAGCGAAATCGAAGCGTTAGTGCTAGGGCTGTAGCGACGGGATGCTCTGCCAGGACAGGTCAGGCTTTTACTAGACACGAGTCAAACCACAGCGCCGGGTGCTCAGGCGTCTTTTCTCTCTCTCATGGTTACTGGCTTCGAGGAGCGGGGAGACAGACGGTGGCAACTTTTGGATCTGATCTGGATCTGCTTTTAGATCGGGCTAGAGCTTGCCAAGTGCGAGCCGCTCGCAGTTTGAACAGATCCACACCATGCTGCCTGATGATTAAGTAAGGAACATCGGAGTGAGGGAACAGGATGCTCAATACCTCGAGAGGCCACAACAAGATATCCGCCGGCGTACATTACGGTTGAGGTTCCGACTCATATGACAGAGCCCAGATATGCTCACGGGTGGAGCCAAAGACGAAATGCCGTGTGGACGGATTCTCTGTTCGAACGATATTTTCCGCCCTCAGGGGCGCCATACTTCAAATCCGTTCCGACGTGGACGACCGATGTCAAGCAGCGATTCCCGAGTCTCAAAACGGATTGTTCCGTCAGGGAGGGAAGTTCTGGGGCGCTTTTGCCATGTTGGGACGAACGAAGGCGTCTTTTTCGCATCCTGCCGTGTCGCTGTTGCTTGGCGACGTCTTCCGGTGTTTTGGAACCGACACCAGCACGGTCGGGCGCACACCGTGATGGCGGTCGTCGCCATAAAGTTGTCGAACATCCATCAGCGGTCGTGCTGTTATGTCGAGATCTGCAGGAATCAAATGAGGCCTGGGAAAGGTGTTAGTAATTTCTCTCACGGTGCGAAATCCAAAGCTACCTAACGAGGTAGGTGTATGCTACCCCTGTACTCTGAAGTGTTTGACCAATTCGAGTCGACTGCATTCGGGCAGTATTTCCATCAAGATTATGTTATGAGCTGCCGAACCTACCTAGGAAGTACAAGTGTCAAGTAGGTACCTATGCTGTCAGGTAGGGATGGAGGTGAATAGAAACCAAAAGAATTTGGGTAAATTGATATTTAGGAACTCTCACCTCATGCGTACTAGCCCACCAGCTTGACCAATGTGGGTTAGCGCGCACACTAAGGCAGTCAATCTTGCGAGTCTGGGTTGGCTGGAAGTTTGGAGCGCAATTGGAGCTAATCTAGACAGAGGTTAGTGCAAGAGGAAGAGGAAGATGATGCGGAGAAGGGGGAAACACCGGAAGGTTGAGAAAACGGACGAATAGAATAATAAAGCCCATTCCTATTTACCTCAGCATAAGGTAGTGGACATGTACTGACGGGAGCAGAGCATTTGCGGCGCGATACCTAGCTTACCACAGTAAGCAGTTGAGATGACGATCAAGAGGCAAGAGGACAGGATAGGGACTTGTATAACAATCTAAAGGTACATAGATGCTGGTCACAAGAGGCGTTTTCCATTTCTGGATATTCGTATCAAGACGATAAGGTAGATAACCAAGACACAGCCTAACACCAAAAAGAGCAGGGACGCCGCACAGCCCAGCCCTAAGGGAAAGGGTGATTAAGATCTGGATCGGGTCTAGCAACGGACGGGAACTCAGATGAGATGTCACCACGGATGGAAGTTTCTTTAGCCGTTGGCCCCCAAACCCCCAATCCCAAGACCGAGGGATGGCTGTCAAACACAATCATGACACAGATTTTCAAAAGGCAGCAGTTGTGACGAGTCGCGACACCTCGGTCTTCCCTTGTCGATGGAGATGTCGGGCATGCAATGACCAAAATTGCGTCGCAGTGCAGCAGCTTCCATTTTGACGAAGGTAGGGACCTGGAACGAATCAAAATCGCATTCGCAGATGTCTCCACTACTAAATCTCAGGCCGTCGGTTCGGTGTTTCGATTTTGGGTTGTTCTTTCCTCAAGGGTCGCGAGTCGTTTGGTAAGGTAAGGTACGTAAGGTACCCCGCCATTCGTGCCTTCCCTGCCTTAAGATACCTGTTAACAGCAAGCGCGGGCTGGCATGCCAGGCAATCGAATAATGCAGGAGGTCCCTTCGTACTTCTTTCCTTTCCCAAAGCGACCTGCTTGTCTGCCTAGGTACCTTACGGATACCGACCTGCGTTGGTCTTTTGCCTTCACCTCGGTGAACAAAATAGATCCTGGAAGGCTGGAACCCGGTGCTACGTATCCGAACCTGCCGTACTTGCCCGAATTTCACCGGGACGTGGACCGGCTTACCTAAGACACCCAGCTAAGGTTAGTTCGTCTTACTTCCGGGTTCCGCGCCGCCGCCAGATTGGAACGTTTGGGGGCACAGCAGCCCCCCTGCCACAGGGTTCAGGTCGTTGTGCCTTAGGTACCTACCTCAGCAGGGGGGCGGGAGAAGAAGAAAAGAGGAGACGGAAAAAATGGCTGCTTGAGGTGACTTATGCCTCATGCCTCAGGCAAGGTGACGTAGCCCGCGTTACCGTCTGCACAATTTCCTTGGAATGTCATCGACCCTGGATCAGTGACGTATCCGCCAACTTTTCAGCCAACTTCGCTCCAACTTAGAGGGCATTCACCACCTTAGCCTTTTTGTTTATTAGGTCCTACGAGGCGACGACGAGCCCTCAAATATGGAATGAATGGATGTTTCGGCCTTTTTCTTCTCTTCCTTCTTATGTCAGATGTCCACTCCATGTTCATCATCACCTATCACAGCTTTCGCGAACTATCCATTACATCTCATCCGACGCGATCGACGGAAATCTCCATGCTATCCATGCCTATCTCCAAGCCCCCGACCGTGCCAGGCATAAGCACCGCAACACAACACAACACAATCCAACGCACCGCACCGCACCGCGGGAACGAGAAAAAAAAAATCGACGTAACCGGGACACATCCCCATCCTCTTGAACATGAGCCTAAACCCCGAGCCCGAGCCCGAGCACCAGTTATTACTGGACACACTCTCTCCCCCCCGCCGCCGCAGCTAATTAACGGTTTTCCACGGGGTTGCTAACGACTCGACGTCGGTGCTTGTGTTGTGCGAGAATGTCTCTGTATGGAAGGGGAAGGGGAAAAAAGATAGGGACCCCCGGTCCGCCGTCCCTTCAATCCACCGTTGCTCAGACTCGTCGGGTCCGGGCTTACCTAAAGAACGCGCTCACATTGACACCGTCACTGGCACGTTTCCTGCGTATCCGGTTTACACTTCGCCCCTTCAGCTCCCCCAGTCCAGCTTCATTTCACTTACTGAAGTCTGCATCATAGGTTAACCTCTGTTTCGTCACACAAGTGGGACGTTCGTTCCCCGTAAAGGTAGATGCCATACCTACGTACCATACCTACAGTCGTCGCACCTACACAGATTGTCCATCGACTGTCTGCTCAAGTGAGCTTTGTCATAATGAAGGGATTCTGCGTCGAGACTTCGATCCGCCTCAATCGCGACCTGTCTCCTGTTGGACCGCACACCCATATTGCACACCACTCCCAAGAATGAACTACCTAACCGAGCATATCGACCAATACCGACCCGACTCACGCCAGCGCTTCTAAGGAGTAGGGGTTTGCTGCTCGTTGAAGGGTCATCCTGCCCGCTCTGCAGCCTCTATCCGTACCAAATGTCGACCCTGTGTTGTGTCACTGCCATCCCCCGCCCCGGCCGTTCTCAAGCATACCTCCCGACAGCGACAGGCATTTGTACTAGTGACCGACGACCGCCGGCTTGCATCCTAGACGAATACCGACCGACCTCCCTTATTACTGGTGAAGGACCAGCAGAAACTGGATCTCTTTGGGATTATTTTTCTCCTTCCGCTTCCTCGCATTATCCCGGACTAGGGTACAGTACCTCATACACCGTTCAGTTGACCATTCCAACGCAGGCGCACGCGCAAGCCTAGCCTCCCACACAACCAACATTGGCATGCCGCGAACATTTCCATGACGGGGAGGGGAGGGGGCGTGCGTGCCGAAGGAATGAATCCCCGGAGTGGCTTCAACAAAGCAACGGTTCAAGTACCCATACTTATCATTCCGACGCTAAGGTAGAGAGAGGTTATTTCTTCCAGGAGATGTCCATGTCAGCCACGACATTTGATGGTGTCAGGTATGGCGAGTGTGATACGCCAAGGTAGGGATTAGTCTGCGGCCTGTGGAATCAATGTAGGTTGCTGGATGCTGTTTTTCTCTTCTACTGCCAACACCAATGACACATCCCATCTGCCGCATCGCATCGCATCGCATCGCACCGCTTCGCGTCGTACCGCACCGCACCGCTTTGCTTGAGGCGCTGCGCTGCGCCGCGCCTTTCCTGCAATGACTCAGCTCTGTTATGTAATGGGAAGTTGTTGTGTCTTCCACTTTGACAGGCGGGGGACCATGTGAGATGGGCTGCACATCAGTTCAAAAAGTGCCTTTCTCGATCAAGCGTATTCCGTCTCTAGTCATGCCCGTCAGATGGCCCCCCTTCCGAGTGAACAGCAATTGGAAAGACGTGATATTTATGGCCACGAACCTGGCAATTCTAATGCTTAACATAATTGGCGTACCATACCATTTTCGTCCCGCGCTATTACTATGCAGTAGTGTTGTCGCAGTTGTTAAGGTAGTTGTGGGTTGCGAGTTTCAACCCAGCCTTACTTGCCGTAGTCGCTCTTTCTCTTCGTGTGTAAAAGTGCCTGTTCTCCCTCCTCTTTCCGGAAGAGAAACCTCTCATCGCGCTGCTTTACCCTTCAGCTCATCTCGTTCACCTTACCCAGTTGATGGAAGTTGTGCGCCCGCTCCATCGACCGGCCCTGCATTCAGACCGGATGGGTCGTTTCGTCCTGCCCTCCTCCGTCTCCGTCTCCGCCTTCCGTCAACTCCTCTTCCCACGTCAGGACAGCTCCGCGGGTGCGTGAGGAGTGTGCATCCGTCATCCGCTTTCTCGGTTTCGGCACCGTTGCGATCACGACCTCGTCCGATTCATCTCGAGTTGCGTTGTTGTCGTCATCCTGGTTTTTTTTTCCCGCCTCGCAAAGGAAGCGGATCGTCCCCTGGCCAAAAACTTCACACCATCGGGGAAACGGGCACCATCTCCTAAGCCCCATACATTCTCGTCGAGCCAAAACAATTTGCAATTTGCCCACGTCGTTGCCGTGGCCGCCTGGTCTCCAACTCGTGCAACCGGAAAAAAAAATCTCAACCTCCACTCGATCGATTCGGCCAAAGATTCTTAGGTCTTAGGGGTCGATAAAAAGACCAATTGTCAGCAACATTCTAGACTCGCTCTTGCGGCCCGCACGCACCAACACACAAGACCAAGACCAAGACCAAGACTGCCACCTCGAACCGTCCCGTCCCCCTTCAGATACGAAGAACCGCATCTTACCGGAATAAACTCCGGGCTAATAGGGCCCCGCCCGACCTGGGCCTCGCCCGATCTAGGCGGTCCCTTTTTCGCCCAGGACTTCATACAGCACAACGCCGTCTGGTCCCGCCCCTCTCCTTTGACATTGGATCGTTCCAAGTGCTGCAGCTTGCCACTCGACAACACCAAGACCCAACCATACGACGCCCGCCACCGTCTCGGTCCATTCACACCACAACTTCGGCCTTCTAGCCTTGCCGTCCCCGTTGCGACCGCGAATGACTTCCCCTCTGTCCCACCTCCGCTTTCAGACATCCTCTCAGCCCTGGGCCCGTTGCCACTAGGGTTTTGCAACCGTCCGCAACCCCCCCGGCCTGGACGGGCTGCAAGGACCCGATCAGTCTAGGACTCCTCGACACTCTTACCCACTCGAATAACTGGCATGCGATACCATCACATCGGCTTCAACTACATAGCCTTGATGAATCTCTTCAACCCTCCCGGACTCGACCTGACTCCTTCACTATTAGGTGAACCATGGACGACGAAACTTCTGCAGGCCTTCCACCTGTCGAGCAACCGGCTTCAGAGTCACCGGTTCCCGAGTCTTCGACTGTTGACTACCCAATGGAAGAGGCTCCAGCCCTCTCGACCTGGATAAAACAAGAACAAAAGAATACAAGACATGTGAGTACTCCGGCTCCCTCTCACGCGTGATCAGGACTTCCTGGGCACGATCTCTCCTTGCCTTGCTCCTAGCGTTTGTTCTTGGATGCTTGTCCGTACTTGAGCTTGAAGAGCGCGGCGCTTCAACCTCTGGCTCGACTCGAGTGGCGTTTCTATTGTTGCCTCGCTATATTACCTTCTATTGCGCCTGCAATAAGTCTGACGTGTACTTAGGCTTGCAACACATGCCGTGGAAGAAAGCAAAAGTGTGGTGGCGAGCGACCAAGATGCAAATGGTGTGTGGACCATGGATACCCTTGCTCGTACACGGAGGATAAGCCGACGAAGTGAGTAGCTTCTATCCTGGTATTTCCACGACCGAGTCTGCCTACAGCAGTGCGATGCCGTGCCGCGGCCGATGTGATATGGGGGGGTTACCTGCACTTTTCTCATCAGCCTCGTACTAACAGCGTGGCGTACTGCAGGAAAGATAAAGCCACTGAAAGAATTCTGGAAAGTGTGGAACGTTTTGAACCCAAAGTCCATGAATCACATGTGTTGATCAGAGACATTCCGACCATCTTGCGAGGGGTCCAGGCCTTGCTCATCCAGTCCCAGACAGCGACCGATGTGCTTGACGGGCGAGGCGATGGGCCGTCAAACATGGCCAACTTGCAGCCGTCCAGCTCCTGGACCCCTCGAGATGATCAGCAGCAGTACGTATCTGCCGTTCACAAGATGATGCGGTGGGACGCAGTGCGGAAGATGCTCGTGGAAGCCGGCATCTCTGCACAGGAAGCCGATTTCTTGAAGCCGAACTTCCCTTCGCTCATCTTGGAGCAGCAAGGACGTACCGAGCCCCTTCCCATAAGCAGCACCATCAAGTTGGGCCAATTGAAACCAGTCTTCGTAAACAACCGATCAACGACCTACTTCAGTACCTTTCACTTGTTGCACCCGATTCTGGACGAGCAAAACTTCAGAAATACGACGGTCTCTAAGGCGTTTAACCGAGGTCGTCTGACGGATAACGTAGACGCGACATTGGTGCTTCTTGTGTTGGCCCTTGCCGATATGGGCGAAGCCACATGTACTGATCCTGGACTTGTTCAGCAACATATTCAACAACACGGAGGACCGCCAGGCTTGTCTTACTTCAACGAGGCCAGACGACGTATGGGTTTCTTCGTGGCGGACTGCACTCTGGAAACCGTGCAATTACTTATTTTGGCGGGGTAAGTGGTTTCTGACGAATGATATGCGCCGGACCTCAGCTCCGGTGTGTCTGACTCCGACTCCGAACCCGGATTCGGGCCCGGTCCCGGTTTTCGGTGCTGTATCTGGTGGAGCTTTTTGCTGACGCGGTTTGGGCATGTCCCATGTCAGATTGTACTATGAATCATGTTCTCGACACATGGTAAGTGAAAACGGACAATTGGGGGGGGGAGGCCTAAGTACTTGACTAAGAGCAAGGTAGGAGTTCTGGAGAATGACTGCCATGGCGTCCTTGGCTTGCCACAGGCTGATTACGAGGTGAGCTTCCCCGTATTGCCGCTGCGAATGCCCGGGCTTGTCTTGTAACTGGCCAGTTCGCTAATGGAGCCTGCAGCGATCCTGATCGAGCTCGATCTCGGACCCAACACGATCTGATCCGCCGGGCTTACTGGCATTGCTGCATTATTGAAACGTACGTGCATCTCACTCTTGAACCCAGTCACAAGCGAAAACCCCAACCCAGCAGCCCCAACATGACCCCCGTCATCTCCGTATTCAGCCCGATGCATTTGCCCATTGCCAACGCGCATCACTCTCTCTACGCACACCCTAGCATACTCTTCCGACTTTTGCCACTTATTGACAACGTCTGACATGGCGATCGGCCTTCTGACTTTGATATCCGTACAGCGGCCTGAATCTGGAGCTCGAACAGCCCCTGACCGGCTTAACATCCCTTAGGGAGAACGAGTGGGGGTTGAATGAAAGCATGTTCAGCGATAATCTGAATGAGGATGGATCCGAATTATATGAGCAACATTTCTACTCACATATCAACTTGCGATATCACGCGCGTGAAATACATCGCTCGTTGACAGCAAGTAAGTAATCCCCACCTGCATTCGATCAGTTGGTCCCCAGGCGCAGCACGTTTTTGCTTGCTTGGTTTGCTTTTTTTCTGGTCCTCCCTTTGCGTTCCTGTTTCTGAGACCCACCAGACTGGAGGATATCTTCCCCATTCGAAGGCTTGGATCATATGTTTCTGTGAGGTGCCTTTGCTGACAATTCCTAGTGAACAACATAGGGGTCGTTTCCGCCCAGGGCTACTTTACACAAAAGGAGAGGGATCTCCTCTCAAGCAACCTATCGAAAGAAGTCGAAGCAAGAGCACGTCACCTAAATGATTGGCGAGACAGACTCAATGACGAGATGCAATGGGTCGAGATGCGTTGGAACGAAAGCAACAAGAAGACTGAAGCTCCCGTCAGCCTTTTCCCGAACACGTCTGAAGCCCTCTACGAAACGCAATACCCTATCCATGATGACCAGATTCGCCAAGTCTATTTCCCCGACGTCGCGCAACCAATGGAACCACAGCTGGAGCAACTGCAGCAACTGCAACAACTCCAGCAAATGCCGCTCGAAGCTTTCGGCCCTGCTGGAGTCGACGTCATACTTAACGCCCTGCTCAAGTCCCGGTACTACTATCTGAGATGCCTCCTGTACCGCCCGTACATTTACAGAATCCTCCACTCTGACAGGATGTATCAGTCGGACATGGCCGGGGCCAAAGAGTACCTTCGAGCCTGCGTCCTGTGGCCCATCATCATGCCACCGGTCTGCAACAGCAAGGCCATGATACCCAGCCTCTACCTCTGGACGCACAATATCCTGGGCGTCCTCGTCATCTTGTACCTCTCCGAGACCAACCCGCGACTCATGCGCGTCCGCGACGAGATGACGCCCAGCAACAAGCCGAACGTCTTCGCGCCGCGGGCTCAGGAGACAGTCCGACTGTGCATCGAATGGATCAGGAGTCTCCAGACCACCGACAAGTCCGCCGAGTGGTGCTGGTTGGTAGTCAAACGCTTGTATCGCATTCCGGACGAGACGAGTGACGGGCAATACCTCGTTTGAACCGTAGACGTCCGATCTCAAGGAGGAGATGACGAGAAACCGATGAGCTCGAGTTTAACGCAGTGTCAGTGGGTGATTGAAGGCCTTCGCGGTCGTTGCGGGGCCGGGGTTTCGAGGCAGAGAGGGAAGACGACGCTACGTTTGCGACCGAGCCATATTTGAGTGCTCGCTCGCAGAAACGATTTAATGACCCAAAGAAGGAACAAACCTCGAAACAGAAATGAAAGAAGAAGAATGGCAGACGGTACCCACGAACAGGGAACAGCTGTTGCGCGAGAAAAGGGACTAGACTCGAGATACTGGGCAGGAGATACCCCCCTACGCCTTCTCTTCTCTTTCTTTTAACACCACTTTTTTGCCCGTAAACGATTGGCCAAACCCAGAGGAACACCCTCTTCAAAGAAACAAGGCCGCACGTGGCCGTCAAGGCCTCTTTCCCCTGTCCCCGACCCAGTGATGATGCTGTAGTCGGTTCGGTGCCAAAGAAGACGCGTCTTCCTCCTTTCCAAATCGACCATCGCGGCAGTGTTTAAGTGGCACGCGTGGCTGGCGGTAAGGACGGCGAGATCGGAATATCCCCACCCACGTGTTTGATGACGCCCGGCAGTATGCTAATCTGCGTCCCAGGACCTTTGACATGTTGAAACCCCCCAAACGCGGTGGTCCTGCTGTTGGTGTAAGTTGCCGAGACGATGGCTGGCTTCCCTCCACCGCGGCGGCATCTGTCCGCCGGGTGGTCCTCCTCATGATGCTCCTAACTTTACCCGGGGCAGATCGTTGCGTGTTTATTATGCAGACCTCTTGCTGGGTGGTCACAATATCCCCTTCATCAGCGCTTCTCTTTCGTCTGGTGACTGTCCGCGGTCGTGGATGTGCTTTGTTCAGACCCCCTGCCTACTGATTCTGTCCATGGACTCACAGCAGAAGGAAGGAACCCAGTGTTTGCAACGTCGATGTTGTGTGGCCGAGTTCGATGCTTCGTGGAACGACTGCCGAGCAAGGGGGTGCGTGGTGGTCGGAAGCCGCCTTCGAATGGATGTCCACTTGGCGGTCCTCGTGAGTTTTCGCCCGGCCAAGCTCAACACGTATGCTCTCTATGGTAGTACATGATTGCGTGCGGGTTGATCATCATCGTTCAGTTCTAGGGTTTCCAATTTTTCATGGGGTGGCCGGTTCTTCTCGGTTTACCTTGCTTGCGATATGACGACAGTTTCGCTTTCTGGTTCTCTCGTCGGGTATTCACTTCCTACCCAGGGCAGGGGCGAGATCTTCTTTCAACGAGAGACTTGTGGGGAGCTTGTAAAAAATAGTTGCGGCGTTGCTAGCTAGTTGCAACAACACGATGCTCGGGCGTAGATGTCTGTCTACAGTCAGTCATACCCATTGGGCTGTTTGCACACTCGATCGACGACTTCAGGTGCGGAAGGGAGCACACTTGGTGACAGAAGTCGCCTGAAGCTCGTCGAAGCTACTTGACTATGTTTAATCGTGTCTGTGCCGTCTGTCAACTCTGCCGGGGTATTACCTACCTCACACCTACACAGCGAACATCACATTCGCTGCTACTCTCGGAAACGGTATGCCTTCTGGAGATGATGTCATCAGAAGCCGACTCGCAAAGCTCTTTGCATGCTGCCCATGCTTGAGAATCCGTCCGACAGTGTCTCATCAACGCTCTGCGAAAGCCTCCTCAACGGCAGAAGCACTCGAGTTATTCTTGTACTGAATTTGAACGAGCCACATAATATTCAGAGAAGCCAGTCCGTGGTGTGCTGCTCGTCAAACGGGTCCTCGTAGCTCATGGCTCTTTGTCTTCAACGAGGTCGTCATTGGTTGGGAACGCCGCCCGAAGACCAGCTGACAGTGTTCTTCTTGCGATGTCCTCAGCAAGCAGCGGGACTTGTTTAGATCTCCGGTCTTTGGCATTGTCGCTCGTTTATTCATCCATGAATACCTGTACTTGTGCTTGTGTCTGAAGGACAAGACTGGCCATCGTCGGCGTATGTCCATTCGCGTTCCCATCTCTAACCGCCAACAGCAGCAGTTATATTCCGGTGTTGGACGATGAAATGATAGTCTCGAAGGATTGTCTGCTGGCTGAATTCATCACGACGTTGTCAGACCTGAGCTATTTATGCACGAGATATCCGTTTTTTTATAGCTCGGGAAATAGTGTGCTTCTTTGCAAGTGTTGGGAGTGCGGCCTGGGAAGCCGCTTCTGGATACATTCGGTCTCTGTTCCATCATGGAATTACCTTTAAGACGAGACTTACCTCACTTTCTCTTCATCATTCGCCTGACAAGCCGGCTGGCTGGGCGGCTGTCGGGGATGAGACTGCAGAGCCTGAGCTCAAGGGTCCTCGACAAAATGCGCATTCTCAGCTACCCCATCAACGTCAGTAACCATAGAGAACAAGTTATATAAGATGGGGTTCGATGCGTCTTGGTGTTGTCAACGAGTGTATTAGGAGGGCCGATGGCATCACAGTCACTCGTCCGACTTGCTCCGCCTTCCTACGTGCTAAAAAGGAGTGCGAAGGGGCGAGGTACGTTTTGAGTCGCTTTGGGTTCGGATTATGTTATCCTCATTTTGTCTTGGGTCTCTGGTGCCCGTCGTTGGCGCTCGTCTGTTCATCACTGAATACCTGAACGATCGTGACGTGAATATTCGAATTCCGACTTCTGCCCGTATGGAGTAGAACCTCTCTCGTCGCGAGGGTGTGACACAGCTTCAAGCCAGGGCCTCAGTCAAACAAAACCAGTGGGCCGCCTTATTCCTGTCTCCAGGACTGTCCCGAGTGGAAGTGTCCTGAGAGCCTTCTGATATGACGATGAATTTATTAAATAGCCTGTCTCCTTCACGCAACTAAGAAAGATCGACAAGGATCCGTGTCTCATGAACGACATGTCGAACGACGTGCTGGGGGTGATGCCCGTGGATCAGGAATGACCTAACGTACACAGTTGAATACTCTGTTCAGCGGACTGACGTTGAGTCGTTCTATAAAAAGGACTCCTTGGAGGAACTCAGGCCACTTTGCATTCAAACCCTTAAACGGCTCCGACTAGAGAGGTGTTATCCGGGTTGAGATTGGTTGTTCCACATCCAACAAGAGAACTTCGGCCCCGGCCCGGTCTCTTGAACGGCCGATATTTGGTTGTGGGTACCGGGTGGTGATATACAAGATTGAATACATGAAGAGACTGGACGACGCCCGACGACGTTTAGGGCATCGGATCAAATCTCCCGAGCTAGGTCTTCTGGGGCTGGTGGTAAGCCTCATTAAGATTCCCTTATTTACTTCGGTGTTTCTCAGTTTCACACGGTTTCTGCCAGCTAAGGAGATGCAGCAGAGACCAATCATTGTAAAACTATTCATAGTATGGATGATTATCACTCTTTATATAGACACTTATTCCAAAGGACGCGTATTATGCAACTCTACATAAAATCCAGAAAACTATCTCCCGCGTATCTCATGGACCGCATGACTACTCCGTAACCATGCCTAGAGACTGGCCTTTTTGTGCCGAATCTATTCCGTATACTTCACAATAGACGAAAAGACACTCACAGAGCCGCAACAGCGACGTTGAGAAAGATCTTCAACGCGAGAGTTGGGAGAGAAGAAGCCCGTCATCATCTGCAGAAATCTTACCCGATCCGAGCGGCATCAGTCCAACATCCCGCGGCGATTGCTTTTACCAACACATTTACTTCCAAGCCAGAACTTCATTCTTATATCTGGAATTTCTCGTTTGGAGAGCGTTTCGAAGTTTCCTTACCAAGAAGTCAAAGTGAAAAACGCCTAGCCGCAGCAGATCCCCCGGCCGAGAATCCACATCTCGCCCGCGTGTGAACAACTCGCACCGCCAGTCCGCTTGACTCTCAAGAAATCTTAAAAGTTCCCCAACGACCCCAGCTTATATCCCAACGTGAGCATCAAGCTTGAATAGTATTGAACAGAGCCATATAGTGCAAAAAGTCGAGCATCGTCAAACACCACAACGACAAGTCTCGAAGTCCGCCAAAAAGACATACAACACCAGGTATTCGCTGGTCGTCACCGACCCAACTACTAATCCGGCCCTCATTGGCTTATCTATGGGAGAGCGGACGGGATCCCGAGTTTTCCAATGGGTATGGTCGTATGTGCTAGTTTGATGATGGTAGGACGACTATGAAGCACGCAGAGCACGAGTCAACAGCGACGGACATGCCGGACGACAGCGTCATATTTCACCAGACAGCTAACTGTCACTGGCACCAGTCCCTCAAATCATAATGCAGTTGAATGGAATGAATGTCATGATCATAATAATAATAGTTCATAAATATTTGGGCGTGTCATACGCCCATGCTAAGTATGCATCTACCCAAGACCCAGTCCGATGCGAGAAAGCCGCCTATTCAAAACTCCAAACCCATTTTTTGATACTCCGTATTATGCAACCACGCTTCACACAATTAATTATTGCTTCTCGTTCAGGTCCGCATCCCGCCTCGGGTTGGGCTGGATTTCCTCGCCGCTGTTTTTTTCCCTCGCGGACGAGGACTCGGAGGCCTCGATATCGTTGGCCATCACTCCGCTACTGGGCTTGGTCTTGCGACCGTCCTTGAAGTAGCCGTGGATCTCCTCGGAGAAGAGGTCATGGTCCTCCCAGACCTCGGGCTCCTTCTCGCCCTGCTCGGCCTGGCGCTCCTCCCACTCCTTGCGCATGTCCTCGATCTGGGCCTTGTGGTCCTTCTCGGCATCGTAATACTTGCCGACACCACGGATGCGCTCCCACAGACTGAGATGCTCGGGGTGGACGGCAACACCGTGGTACTCGTGCTCCCTGCCGCTGCGGATGTAGGTCCAGCGGCGCTCCTGCTCCTTAAGGTCGAGACCGGTGGTGTCGGGGAGGAAGAGCCAGGTAAGAAGCATACCGGCGAGACCGAACCAAGGGACGACGTAGAACTTGGTCTGGGTGTCGATGTAGTTGTACAGAACGGATGCGAGAAGGGCACCAGCCTTTCCGATACAGGCCGAGAAACCGTGGGCGGAGGCGCGAATAGGGGTGGGGAAGACCTCACCAGCCACCAGGAAGGTGACGGAATTGGGACCGAACTGGTTGAAGAAGGAGCTGAGGAAGTACATGGCCTGGAAAGCCTTGATGCCGGCGGGACTCGTGTAGTATTCGTAGTTGAAAGCGGGGATGACGAACATGACGAAGCACATCAGGAAGCCGACCTGCTGCATCATCTTACGGCCGTAGAGCTTGTTGTCGATCAGCAGGGAGGCGAGGTAGTATCCGACCATGGAAACGACAACGTTGATCAAACTCCAGGTCCACTTGGTAAGAAGGGAGTTGGGGTTGCTGGAGATGACGGAGATGAACTGGCCCTGGAACAGCTTGTTTCCGTAGAAGAACACATCGTTGCAGAACCAGGTACCAGCAGTGGCGAGCAGACGACCGCCGAAGTGACGGCAGCAGTACTTGAGAGCGTTAACGTCGTAACCAGTAACACCCTGCTTCTTCTTAGCGAGCGCGAGCTGCTGGTTCGCGCGAGGCATCTTCCAGATTCTGTAGTAGACGAGCCAAAGAGTGCCGATGGCGGGCAAGGCGAAAGAAATGCGGAAGGTGTACTGAGCGGCAGTCGCAGAGTAGGGAGGGTCGCCAGAGCCGCGGTTGAAGATTACGAGCAGGACGATGAGAACAACCTGGTTGACGAACTGACCCCAGCCTTGCATCAGGAAAGCCATGGTGACCTTGCGGCCACGGTGAAGACGATCCTCGCGGGTGGAAAGGCGACCGGCGGTCACGGAGTTCTCCATGGAAGAAGTGGCGGTAATGGGGTATTCACCTCCGACACCGAAGCCGTAGAAGAACAGAGACCAGGCGTAGAAAATGACCCAGCCCTGGAGAGAGAGGGCCCAGCTTCCAGTCAACAGCAGCAAACCGACGAACATGATGGCAGCATCCTGAATGAGACCCCAGCGGCGGCCAATCCAGTCACCGATGACCTAGAAAATTGTTAGGCTTCGCTTCTCGAGTACCGGATTTGCATGTAACTTACACCAACAGCAGCCTGTCCGATCATGATACCGACAATCTCGAGATATGTGACGGAGGCAACCCAGTTCTGGCTGCACACCTCGTGCGTCTTCCAGCACGAAGGCCAGGCGGCCTGGAAAAGAGGCTCCAAGTTACCGATCGAGAACAGGACGTAACCCTCGAGGCCGAGGCCGGCACCGGGAAGAACGGCGTTGCGGAAGTACCAGCTGACGGGCGAGAGGGGGTCTTTCTTCATCATCTCGCCGGTGGCCTTGAGCTCCTTGGCCGCCTCGGCGCGGTCGACGGCGTTCACGAAGCTGACACGCTTCCAGAAGGGCAGATCGGCCCAGTAGATGCCGTCTTCGGTGTACGAGTCGTCCGGGCGGGTGATGTGGCTGAAAATCTGACGCTCATGCTGGGTGGTGTGCTCTCGGGGGTAGTCCTCGATCTCCTGGCCCGTCTCCGGGCCGTGAGGCACGGGAATCACGCCAATCGGCGCGGAGTGACGGTTCGTCATTGTGAAGGACGGCGACAACCTTGGGTCGTGGTTGGAATTTGGCTAGAGACGACCCGGCAAGTGGACAACAACAGCAGTGCGCCGACCTGTAGAGACGGATCGGGGCGGCTGTGGTATATAGATGTGTCTCGCAGGGAGTTGCGGGGAGACGAAGCAAAACCTTGATACGATGGGACGAAGAGCCCGAAACAAGGTTCACTAGTCGAGTGCTTCCTTGCTTTGCTAAAGAAAGCAAGGCGAGATGGGAAGGGGGGCGAGGAAGAGGTTGTTGGCCACGGCGGAGAGAAGGAGAGGAAAGACGGGATTAACGGCCAAGAGGGACGTGAGCAGATAGATATAAACAAACCAGATGCTGGGATGGGGATGGGGATGGGGATGGATATGGATGGTGGGCTCTGTACCGAAGTACGTTCAACAAGCGGACATGTTCAAGTCTCTCGCCTCACGACTCCAGTTCGAAGGACGTCTTGGCCTGGTGGAAACGGGCGAGGGCCGACTCTGGCCAGTCCGCGTTGAGAATTGGAACCCGTGCTTGGCGTGCGGCGGGCCAACGGTTCTGCTGTGTGCGATGTGCCGACTGGTCCCCTGCTCTGGATCTGTGTCTGGAGACTCGGGACTACCAGGGTCGAATCTTTTTCCAGGTTGGGTGACCGAGGGAGACGCTAGCTAGTTCGTCAGAGATTGAAAGGGGCAATAGGAAACGTGATTTCCGAGGATAACAGTAATCGCAAAGCGTGTTGATTGAAGAGATTAAGCGCGTAGGTGCCGGTTGATTTTGGCTGGACGGGGGAACGATGCGGATGGGGACAGCGGCGGAAGAGGGAGGGAGGTGTGGCACTTTGCCCACTTGCACTCCACTGGGGGTTGGTCTGGGATCCATGGAATGGCATGGGATGGCAGTACATAGCATGCGTACCTACCTACCTATGGAAGCCGGAGCTCAAAGTGAGGCATTGCTATGCAGAGAGTACGGTTTGTGGGCAAAAAGGCAAGAGTTGACGAGGATCCAAAAAAGACCCTTTGGTTTTGGCTTGACCTTGCTGGGACGTGGACTGGGGCCTTGCCTCCCGTTTCGCCCGTCACCTCGGACGCGGACTCCACCTGGTAGTGTGATCAAGTGGACTTCCAGCTTGACATGAGCAACGAGGTAAGGCATGAGGCGAGAGACACGCCGTTTGTAGCTTGAGATTGAACTGGCACGACCCCGTATGGTTTCGTCGTGGCCGACGCTATGCTTTGGAATTCGACCGAATACAACCAGCCAAATATGCAAAGTACGAATTAAAAGAAGAAGAATTAAATGATGGAATATCAGAGTGCGGTAAACCCGAAATCGGTGGGGCAGACTAGCTCTACGTCACCTGGTTGGGTAATCCTGGTTTCTACTCTCTACGTACTCGCACAGGAAGGGAAAGATGTGTGAACGAGTCGGCCGAGCCAGCTGCCAGCAGCAGGGACCTCGAGGCAGGAACGTACCTACGGATACTGTCCCGTCGTACCTTACTAACCTAACTGTCCACCTTTTGGCAGTAAATGCAGCTACCGTATGACAAAACTTGGAAGCCTGTACCTCACGCGGTTTGGACCGTGATGAGGCGAGACCAGGCACTTCCATATCGTCCTGCATTTCCTTCTAAAGACGGTCCGATGCTGTTTAGCCCGGACCATCTATTGCCATTTTCCAGACCGAAGTCGACGGGCCAGAGACAAAACGCAGAGCTTATTGTCAGATTTCAACACACCACCGAACGCTGCAACAAGGCAGCCCCCTTCTCCCGTTCCTCCTTTTTAGAAACCCATCAGTATGCAACCCAGGATATCCCAGATGCTCTCATGATCAAATCCCTTTCCCATCAGCTCCCGCCGTTCGTCCATGTCTACCGCAGTACTCCGTCTTCTTCATCCTCCTGACTCGCCCCCGCCAATTGCGTCTGCAGGCGATGCCAATTCTCGCAGCGCCAGCAGCATGCATCGGTCTGGCCAGTTTTCCCCTCCCTCGGCCCTGACCTCCCCAGAATTTCGCCCTGCACGCGACACTCGTAACGAAGAAGAAAAAAAATACTACGGAGGACACCGCAAGGATCGACCAATCCTCTGTCATGCCCGGCGGTGTTCTTCACCATTCTTCTCCACAAAAGCGCCCCATGCCAGGCCCCGCTACAGCCCGCGCCGCCCCTCACCACCCCGTCAGGGAAAAAAAAAGCAGGCGCAGGTTGCAGGCCAGGCAGGCCGGACGAGCTTAAAGGGACACTGGAGGTTACGACGTACGTCCCTTCGCATCGAAACGCAGATCTGGCCAATCACGTCCGTTAAATCGAAAACGTGCCAGATCTATTGACTCCCAGTAAACCCGCACTTCCGGCATGGCCTCTAGACGTCGCGGCGCGGGCTGCATGAGGTTGCGTTGATTCATGATTGCGAAAACAATCATCGTACGGGAATTTTTCACTCTCCTTGCGAGACGGCCGACATATCGTCCCGCTAAATCGCACATCGCCAAGCCCGTGAAATTTCTGCTGCTAACCGCTGCCAGCAATTGCTCGCGTGCTCGTTTTCCTCTTCCTCATTCGCCAAGCCGCCAAGCCCGACTGATTTTCCCAAGCCACGCACATTGGCAAAGCTTCTTTGCAACGTCCTGTCGTGTTTCCTCTTTTTTTTTTTTTTTCTCTGGTGGTCGGTTACACTGGCGGTGTTTTGCCCGACTTTAACCGCCTCTCACTCACACTCACCTCATCAACAACTCTCAAATGACTCGAAACCAAACCACGTCAACATCAGAAGAACATTCACTGCTGTAAGCGATGCATCATTCATGGTACTCTCCTAGGGAAATGCAAATATGCATATGAGACGATAACTCATCCTTGAACCAATAACCGCATGAACCGAACTTTGCGACCACTGGTTCGACACCACCACCGCCGTGATCATCAGCATCATACAACTCAATTCCCCCGCGTTACTCCCTGCTGCCTTACCTAACCCGCATCCGCTCAGGTTTCTATTTTGAATATCGTATTTTGCAAATGTGTCGATTTCACCCGCAGCAGTCATCACTTACGCGACGTGTTGCCATCGTCGTTCACTTACCACACTCATTGTCCTCCTGCATGCAATCAACAAATGATAGATTCGTCGACGAGCCATGCACTCATTACCACCCTCAACGGGGAAGCTCACCTCTCCGTTTCGCCCGCATCAGCATGAACCCAATGACAAGCTGGCCCGAACACCCGGACTCGCACCCAACATACCTCGTTCACCTACGCAAAAGTGATCACGAGGGTGTAGCCCAGGTTTTCCGATATCTGACATAACGAACTCCCAACCTCAATCCATCCATCCATCCACCAACCCCATCCATCAATCTTCTCAACCGCACTCCGTGAAACCCAAAGCCTCCAACTCTTGAACCCGTCCCCTAAACTCTCCAATCCACTGATCCCCAAAGGAAATCGGAGACCGAGCGGAGGAGAAGAACCTCCGGATCCGATCTCACCCTACCTGATAACTCTATCTACAACTTCGGACGACTCCAGCCTCAACTCAAAAAACCCCACGAAAACCATCCTACCTTAGCTAATATAGCTAGTTTTGACTCGGAATTCTCCTTTCCCTTCGCCACACACACACACACACACACACACACACACACATGGACACACACGGGGCAAACCCCTCATCGCCAAGACCACATCCAGCTCCGAGGAGGGGAGGGGGGACGCCCGAGTGCCATCCGTGACACGCTCAGCCCACTCGGTTATATCATCGCCCATGCCGTCATTCAATGTCCGGGCCGTTCGGCTTGCTCGCCGATGGTCGTCGCGGGTGATCCCGATTGGAAACTGCCAAGAAACGAGGCCGTCGAGAGATATCGTCACCGAGAGAGAGAGTCCAGGCCGCGCTTTCGCCGCTTGAACAATCAGACGGCACAATGAGCAATGACATTCCATAGTAGGACAAGACAGTGGCGATGGAGCTCAACGCTGTATCATCCAGGAGGCGAGCATAACACAAGTCAAACATGGTGGCGTTGTGCCCTCAAGTGGTGCAATCTGATAATATCTGTATTCAGTCTTCTTTTTTGAGAGGGCTTTTGTTTGGACTCAAGCCGTGACTCCCCCTACTTTTTGTTGGTCGAATAGACCGATAATACAGTAACCAAGAAACGAAATAACATAGGACTGGGCCTCTCCATCTCCTCGGCGCATTGATACTCTTGTGATACTCGTGAACCAAGCCCCTCGTCGTGTTCGTCGCAGTATCCCCTGCCACCTAGAAATTCCTCTTCTGCCCAACTCCATCCGCAACCTGATGCAATTGGTGAGAGGAAGCCTAGATTGTATAGACACAGAACGAATATAAAAACGAAAAAAGAGATGAAAACGGTCCAGAGTGGTGGTGGTGCGTGTGGTGATCGCAAAAAAGACCGCGCATACGAGAAAGTTGGCAGGCAGGGCCATGCAGCATGCTCACATCTGCCCTGGACTGCGTGTGTAACAAGAATGATAAACCCCTCCCCGTCGTTTGATTCCGCATTCTGAGCCCGTCCTTCCCCAGGGGCTGCGAGGATTCAATCACTCCATTAACCCATAAACGCCGAAGCCGTCCAGTCCCATGCCAACTCAAGGAAAAGATGCAGTCTGCGTGTCGCTGTTGTTCCCACGTAACGCCTCGCTATTGGGAAAACGATTGAACAAGAAAAATGAAAAGTAAAGAAATATTCCATATCTGTTGAACGTTGTATTGCCTGCTGGTCACAGGTTTCAACGGTAGGTAAATTCAGCAGGCCTTGTCTGCAGCGGTTGCCTCTGTCCTATTGAGAGCCCAGCAATCCGGATCTTTCCAGAGGTCTTGGTGTGGGCTCCTCGTCTGCAGTGTCCTCTCTATTCGCCGGTCTCGGGGTCTCATCAACATCAGAGACGAGCGATTGGTCTCCCGGGCTGACTCCGCCGTCCGGCGGTGTTCGTGTGGCTGGTAGAGGCTCGAAGCTGGGCATATCGATCTCTTTGGAGGGCGTTACGACCTGAGTTATCGGTTCCGGTGTGCTTTCCGAGCCGAACGTGACGCTGTCGTGGCTGTCGGCTCTCATCATCTCGATGCCTAGCTTCGAGCTGGGAAGAAGTGCCTTCCCTCGAAAGTGCTTCTCTCGGCCAAGGCCAAGCTCTTCGTCCTCGTCATCGGCGGAATCTGTGCCCTCGGCATGTCGCTTCTCCATATGCTCCTTCCTTGCTTTCAGCTTGTCGACGGAGTGTTGAGGTATTGCCTTTCGCGGGTTCTCCAGCTGACCCGGCGCTGATTGCTGTGTTAATAGCTGTGGCAGTGACTTTGGAGAATTGCTGAGTTGCGTGGGTTCGTCTTCCCGAATGCCAAGCCCGCCCTCTTCCCATTCTCCTGTTGCCTTTCGACTGATGACAACAGGCACATCGTCCGTAGAAACCGACTCGGAATCACCAAATAGGCTGGAGCTGATGGAGTCCTCGCGACTGGACGTGACGACGCTGCTCCCCGGACGTCCAGCAAACATTGAAGAGCTTGAAGTTGGGCTGTCGTCCGTTCGCGAACTTGTCTGGCGGAGACTTGACGGTACCGGATGAGGCAGTGACAGGGACATGGAGTAGTGCATGCCAGGGGATTCCGGCTTCCACTGACAGAGATTCTTCAAGACTTCTGTCAGCTTGGAGCTCGAGATGGGCTTCTCGATCAGAGAATCAAAGTAGTGTGGGGCTTGCAGCTCCTTCAGGTAAGCCGTGATGGCGACGATGGGCGTATGCGAGTTCGTGTTCTTAGTCTCCCGAATCATCCGAGCCACATCAGCGCCGTTAATCTGAGGCAACCTGTACTCCAAGAAGATGATATCAAACTTGATTTCGCTCATGGCGTACCGCACAGCTTCGGAGCCGTTCGATACAGAAATGGTGCGGCAGCGTAACTTTTCTAGAAGTTTCTCCATGACCATGCGAGAGACAGGATGGTCCTCGCAGATCAACACGTCCAAGGGTCGGAACATGGGCCCTCCATCGAACGCAATCTGCGAAAGGCGACGAGAGCTCTGGCGACGGCGTTGAACGCGTAGGAGCGCGTTGTGCTTGTCACCCTCATTGTCGGACGAAGAGGGTGACATGTCGAACACTTGGCTGCGACGGTTTCGATGATGAGCCAGAACATCTGAAGTGATGGGGCTGCCCTCGTTGGACCCAACCGTCAAGGATCTTGACCGACTGGTCGAAGGTTGTCTGGGGGTCGACACCATCTTCTGAGGCGACAAGGCGAGAGGTGGTGGTGGCGCCGCTCCTCCGCGGCCCTTTACCGGGGATGCGGACACACTTGTTGCTGCCTTCTGCAGACTTGGCGGAACTCGAGGTATGTCAAGAGAGGCTGGCTGATGTGCGCTAGACTGTTGCGAAAGGCTTGAGTTGCTCGATGCCTTCCGTCTGTTCTCGGTTCCCTGGCCGGCAACAAAGGAGACGAGGAGAGGTGAAGAAGGCTGAGAAGCACGACTTGGTGACGAAGCTGCGTGACTCAATCCCGATGGAGATTGCGGGCGGTTTTTCGCACTCGAGATCGTTCTCTGGACTGGGTTCGCCAGAACTGGGCTATGCTCTAGGGCTGGGCCAGGAGAAGTAACACTTCCGCCCGGGCTGATGACGGTCGGCTTGCTCTGGGACGCCAATGCTTCTGCGCGCAGCTTCTGAATGACGTCCTTGTTGGCCTTCTCTAGTACCGGTAGATTCTTGAACGTGAAGCTGCCAAAGTCGTCGGCAACGACCGGCTCGCTAAGGCGTCGACTCTTCAAGTCTCTAACGTGAGGAGGGATGTGGAGAGGCATGAGGTTGCGTTTGATTGAGTTGACTTGAGATCGAACGCGCGAAAGAGCATCGTGTGGCCGATCAGGATATTCAGATCCAGTCCCAGAAACTGGGGGCGACAATTGGTCTTCCATTTCTTCGGCGAAAGACTGAAGAACAGCTCCACGAGCATCGAAATATTCGGTATCTTCGGGGTGTTCGAGTTGCGGCACAAATTGTGCTTCGTCCTGGAGCAGAGTTTCCCAGTTGATACCCTCAAACCATGGGTGGGCTCGAATCTCGTCACCACCGGACGGGAACTTATCCTCACGGTTGGCGCCAAGTCGGGACTGAGGCTCCATGCAAAGCAGCTTGTTGATGAGATCCTTGGCTTCGTCAGAGATGGGCTCACACTCGGTCTCATCGGGCCATTGAATCTTGCGAGCCAGAATATTCTCAAAAACTTCTTCCGCATCGCCAGCGTGGAATGGTGGGAATCCATAGAGAAACTCGAACATAATGCAACCGACAGACCACCAATCACTAGTCTCGTCCTGTTTCTCGCCCTTGATTGTCTCTGGTGCAAGGTAGTCTGGTGTTCCGACAAAGCGGCGATTGGTGTCTTCCGGATCGAAAAGAGCCATCGGCGGTGGCATCATTGCGGGTTGAGGAGGGGTACTCTTGCCCAAAAAGTCGACACTGGACTGTGAACCGGCATGTTGAAGGTGTGCCATGTCAGGACTTGGATGTCCGTTGCCTTCGCTCCCTTCCTCTTGAGCCGACGGCAAATTTTGTGACTGTGTGCTCGTGCTCGGATCTTGGTCGTTCAGTGAGAAATTGTTGAGCATGCGAGTGAGAGTCTCGCTACCGCCACTGTCGCTACGGTGAGTAGAAACGCGTCGCGTCTCTGAGCCACCCAAGGCGAAGTACGAAGGCAGCCCCGCGCTAGATCCAGTATCGGGTGTCATTTGAGGCGTCATACTGGGCGAGTGTGCATGACCGTGTAGATCCAGGGAGGTGGAGCGTGACGAAGCCAATGATGCCGAGCGAGCGAAAGGACCTTGTTTGAGAAGATCAGGCGTAGGGTCAGCATTTTGACTGTTGAGTGCGCGCTTCTGTCGACCAACGAGACCCATGCGAGACAGACCAAAATCTGTGAGCTTCAAGTGACCTTTCTGGTCGATGAGAAGGTTATCGGGTTTGAGATCGCGATGAATAATGCCTCGGCTGTGAAGATGCTCGACGCCAAGCACGACCTCGCCGAGATACTTCTTGACCCAATCTTCTGGTAAGCCTCCAAGAACCTTGATGAGAGACGCGCAGTCGCCACCGTTCAGATACTCCATGACCAGATACAAGTAGTCCTTGCTCGAGAATGTCCAGTAGAGTTTGGCGACAAATTCGCTCTGGCCTTGCCACATCATGATGGCACGCTCAGCCTTCACATTTCCAACTTGGTTTTTGGCAACCATGTCCGCCTTTTTCAACACCTTGATCGCGAAGTACTCGCCGGTTGACTTCTTCTTGGACAAATAAACGCTGCCGAAAGCACCCTTGCTGATGGGCTTGATGATCTCGAAATCCTTGATGGAGGGGGGTGCCGGTCGGGCTTGTGGTGGGGGCTGGTGAGCTGTCATTCTGGGCGAAGGAGGCCCCTTCATCACGAACTCGGACATGGCGGCGGACGACTGCCTGCGGTGGTGGTTGACCGGCAAATGGGCCGGCGAGCTAAAGTCGCTCCCAGGAAGCAGCGGGGATGCTTCTGGCGAGGTTATGCCATCCTGCGGAAAGGGAAAGTTGCGTGGTTTCATGATTCTGAGGGGGGATGAAGGCTGATTGTTGCGTGAAGGTGACTCTTGCCTGTGAGGAGAGGATGTTCCAGGCAGAATAATACTCCTGCGATGATGTTGCCGAGCGCTGGCTGCCCGACGGAGGTCACCGAATTCTGATATCGGAGAATCTGTCCGCGGTGGTTGTCTTGAAGCTACGGAGGATGATCGAATGCTTCCATCACTGTCTCCGGTATCGCTCTCGAAGAGCATCGATTCCCGCCTCGACTCGCGAGCTGCCCCTGCGACACTGATACCTCCCAAGTTTGATCGCGGCGTCGGGCACTCCCTAGGGCTGCTCGAGCGTGTTGATTCCACAAAAGAGGTTGGCCGCGGTCTCTCGAGACTATCGGTCAAGTTGACATTCTGCAGGGCGGCTGCCAGTGCGGACGGATTCTCAAAAGACCCTTGGAAGAATAGCTGATCGTCCTGGGCAGGGGTAGCTCCCTCTTCTTCTTCGTCCTCGGTCGAGTCGCTCAGTCGGCCGGCGGCAATCCTAGCTGCTTTGCGCATGGCCTCGTCGATGCAGTCCTGGACGATGACAGCAAATTCAATCCTGATGCGCTCGGCGTACTCTATAATCTTGCGGTGTCTGAAGACTGCCTCGACTTTGGTTTTGGCGGCTTTCTCGGTATCGGCGCACAGTAAGGCGAGGCCTTGCTCCTGTTCCAACGTATTGGTACTGGGCGATTGCCATTGCATGACCTGCGATATGCGAGACTCCGACTGCGGCGATTGCGTCCTAATCTCGCCGGGGCTTTGGGAAGAGGCTTCCTTGACTGCGGGCGTGCTGATCTCGATGGCAGTGTCGCAAAGATCGAGCAGAAGCTCCACGATCCTTGCCTGAGGTCTCCTGATAGCAAAAGATCGCGCTCGTGAGTGACCAAAACCGCCAGATCTTTCCCGTGACTGAGATACCGAGCTTCCGGGAGACGATCCAGCCGACAGAGGGGGGCCAATGGGCATACCCTTGTACTCTGCTGCGGGGAGTGAGAGCTGGTCGCCGGTCAAGGACCGGCTTTTGCGAGCCTCGAGGGCATCGAGGACTTTGACGATCAAGTTTCGGTGCTCCGTCAAACTGTCTTGCGCCATCTGTACGTCCATTTCGGCCCTGTGCTCTTGCAGGCACAAGTCGGTGTGTTTCTCGAACCACCACGGCGATATTTGGCGCTCACAGATGCGACACAACACCGGCAGCGGAGGTGGGTGGTTTTCGGGGTCATCCACTCCTGACTCTGCAAGCTGTGTCAGATAGCTAGCAAGGACCTCGGCGCCAGACCCAAGAGAGTCAACAATCACGGAAGGCAGGTCAATCTTGATTTCTCGAGGCGCAATATAGGGTCGAATCATCCACATCGTCTGTAGCACGCAGCTGTTAGTCCTGCGAACGGTCTCCCGAGAGGCACAGGGCAGTACTCACATGACTTTCTCCGCCTGAAACCCCGTCGTAGACCATGATGCCCTGGGCTTCCAGATCTATTGTGTTAGGCGCGCGCGCCTCGTCCCCACCGGCTTCCTGGTCTTGAAGGTCCTCAAGTGGAAGCAGTTTCGATAACGGGCCCAACGCCACGGCGAAACGGACTCGCTGGCTCCGCGAGTCGTCTGACTTCATGGACTCGACCATATCGGCAAAGACCGTCTTGTTGTCGCTGACGATCAAGTCGGTTATCGCGGTTCCCTTGACCGACTCGGGTTGGGAGCCGATAACGTCGGCCCATGAGGGGCTGACCCATCGAATAGTACCGTCAAGGTTGAGGTCGACAATAACGTTCAGAGTCTGCTCGGCAGCCTCACGTAGCTCCTCTCGTTCCTCGCGTATGTCTTCGCTTAGTGATCGTTCCATGACGCCGGCTTGTGACCGCAGAGAGGTCACAGCCGGAGGCGCCAGCATGTTCGGTTGTGTTTCCATGGTTGGAGAGAGAGATGGGCGAGTTCCCAGGGTGTGGTGATACCATTGGCCGGTATGAATAGTCTCGGCGAGCGAGTACTGACTGAAGGTTCGTTGTTGTAAGTCCGGGGGACAGATGATCGAGGGTGCAGCGTTGTCGAGAAAGGGTTCAACCCGGACACACTAAGTGAGCCAGGTTGTCTGGCAAGGGGCCGAGACTACAGGCAAGGCAGACCACAAGACATGACGAGTATCGAAGTGAGCAGTCTCGGGGCGCAGGAAGCGAGAGAAAGCTCTGGTGACGAAGACGCCGACCGCGAAGTTGCGTGGTTGACAAGGCGGGAACGAAGGTGTTCGGCACCAACAGTCAGCGATTGTTTGGGCAATCGGGCGGCGGACGCGACGTTCGGTTGTCGGCAAAGGCAGAATCGACGTGGCGGGAACAGGACGTGATCGAGCGCGAGAACAAGTCGCGGTTCTGTTTGACCGAGTCGGAATTCCCTCAACGTCTTGCCCTGGCAGGGTCGGAACGGTTGTCTCGACGTGACGATGGGAGGTGAAAGCGACGACGAAGTTCGAAGTCAAAGACGGAGGTGGAGGCGGGAGCGGAAGCGGAGGCGAGTATGGCAGTTGACTTGCCGAAGGGACAAGAGCTCTCGCAACGCAGTGCCGTTGGCCACGGAATGCTGGACCTTGAGACTTGGGACCTCGTGTGGTGTCGTCGTCAAACACAAACACAAGAAGCAGAAGGGGAGAAAAAAAAGCCAAGGGAACGGCTCAGGCCAAAGTTCACGCCGCAGGGTGGCCCTTTGTGATGATGGTGTCAGTCACTCATGGATTACTTTTTGGTGCTGGTCTGCTTCAGCACCTACCTAATTATTTGGCTAAGGTACCTTGCCTTGCCTGCGGTGTTCGTACAGTGGAGGTAATCCAGGCCAAGGTCAAGTCAAACCAAGCGCAAAGATGGAAGAGTTAGTGGTGGTCGCGTCGTTATTGTGGGGCGGCTCAGCACACTGAATGGTCGGGGTGGGCACCACGGGTGGTTTAAGCGGGGAAGGGGTCTGGTGTGGCCAATGAGGCTGGGATCCTCCGGGTTAGACCCAGTAGCTCTACATGCGTGACGTGCCAAATCTGTATGCGACGCAGCGTACCTCTACCCGATGCAGTCTAGCACTCTTTTTCTCTTTTTAGCTAGCCTGGTTCGCTAAAACACGAGCGAGGGAGTCGGGGAGCCGGGTGTGACTTTTGGGGGTAGGAGCGAGGGGGGGGGGGGGGG